CAAAGGCCCATTGCAAAGCAGGTCTGGGCTTTGGCTTGCCAGGCTATAGACTACATGTGTATATTTAACAGGAAATCAATAAAAAAAACAATTAAATAAAACTGCGAATTCACTTATATTCATGGGCATGAAATTGCGTGGTTTTATCAAAACGGGCCTTTTCGTGGGTTCTTAAATTCGTGGATTTTCATTTTCTTGTAAAACAAGAACGTGTTTGTTAAACACAAATGCCCCCCGGCTCCGATTCTTGTCAGTAGCAATATTTCAAAAAATGTTTACCCATTCACTTACACAGTAATGGACAGAAACATTGGCAAAAAATTGTAAACACAAGTTATATAGCTTGACAGAGTCATGGCATTTTGTAATTGTGAAATATATAAGTTGCCAAGTCATTGCTATTGCTATGACTTGTGAAGTGATAAATATTCAACTTTATCAAATATATATAAATGTAAGAAATCTATACTTGGCACCCTTGACCTTGACCCACTGACACCTATAGAATATCATGCAAGTTAGCTTCCTACCAAATATGAAATACACCTGTCAATAAATAAAGGCTGTATGGGCAAAAATGTTAAAATCTATTTTGAGCATTGATGACCTTGACCAAACTGACCCCTAACTCCATCCAAAGGAAGAATACCATGCAAGTTATCTTCCAACCAAATATGAATTAAATCTGTCGATAAATAAAGGCTGTATGTGCAAAAATCTATTTTTAGCACTTGTGACCTTGACCCAACTGACCCCTAACTCCATCCAAAGGAAGAATAACATGCAAGTTATCTTCCTACCAAATATGAAATATATCTGTCAATAAATAAAGGCTGTATGGGCAAAAGTGTAAAAATCTATTTTTAGCACTAGTGACCTTGACACACTGATCCCTAACTCAATCAAAAGGAAGAATACCATCAAAGTTATCTTCCTATCAAATATGAAATACACCTGTCAATAAATAAGGCCTGTATGGGCAAAAGTGTAAAAATCTATTTTGAGCACTAGTGACCTTGACACACTGATCCCTAACTCAATCAAAAGGATGAATACCATGCAAGTTATCTTCCTACCAAATATGAAATATATCTGTCAATAAATAAAGGCTGTATGAGCAAAAGTGTAAAAATCAATTTTTAGCACTGGTGACATTGACTCAACTGACCACTAACTCCATCAAATTTTATGTTCCTATCAATTATAAATGACATCTGTCTATAGAATATGGTTAATAAACCTGTAAAAATCTATTTTTAACATTGGTGACCTTGACATTGGTGACATAGACCTTGACCCAAATGACCCCTTGCAGACGGACGGACGTTCTTACATTTGTATTCTTGTTGGGTATTTTACTGTGTAAAAAGGGTACCCAACACTCAAAGAAAATACCCAACAATACATACGGAGTGAGTAGGATTGGTAGTTGTTGGGTATTCAGTACCCAACATATACCCTATCGTGAGTGCTGACAGACAGACAGACGGACGGTTCAATTACTACATGCCCGGGGGCATAAAAAATAAATAACCTAATGAAAAGTAATCTTACAATTAATCCCCGCACATTTTTACTTACCGCATGAACGTATCACACAGTGCTTGTCAATAATCTAATCCTTGCCTCTAGGCATAACATAAAGATAGCAGTTATTGCCGATAATTGACTGCAATTAACACATTTAGATGACATGATATACAGCTACATTGTACACACTGCCCCTGTGATTCGCCGATGTAAACATTGCATAATTTATATGACCCCTGACACGTTTTAACCAGCGAGTTTAAAAAGTTTACACCCTGAATCGGTCTTACTTTATTTGACAGTAGCTACATGCAACATCACAACGTCTGTGTAAATTTACATGCATATAAATTAATATGAGTAAATAACACGTGATTGTGCGGATCTACTAAGAAGTCGGCAGCGTCTTTGATGTTTACGGAATAGCAGTCACACAAATACAGATTAAAATTCATTTAAACTGGATCATTTAAAGACGACAAAAGGATGTACAATTCATCCGTTTTAGTGATTGTTTATTATTTTTTTGTGTACTTAACTTACGACATTAATATCAAAGATTTCTTTAATTCTATTAACAATTAATAAGAGCAAACTGACAATTTATATTAGCGCTAATTTTTTTTACTGGTTTCACATTTTTACTCGATTGTGTCAAGTATTCTGGATAACACAATCGAGTAGCCTACAACAATTAAGCAGTCTCAGTGATGTGTATATACGACAATATTCAGGACATATAATCGACTTTGCTTTCAATTTTCTTAAATATTGCAAACTTTAACTATTTATAGATTTAATCTGTCACTTACCTGATTATCTGTATACCATCATAACACAATAATCTACCGGAAAAGCGGTGACGCATAGAATAGAATAGAGACATGGTTAGAAGTAATTGTTGGGATAAAATTTCGTCGGATCTTAAATTAGTGGATTGACCTACCAATGAAAACCAGGAAAATTCGTGCCCCACGAATAATAATGATTTTACAGTATATAGAATTCTATAGCTATCAATGAAATTTTCAATGTCAGTTCTAGATGGGCGGCGCCATTTTCAATGTAACTCAAAGCTTTTTACAGTTTATTTATTTTTTTTTTTTACCTTTTTATTTCTACTATTAATTTAATTTGGTTTTAACTAATATATTAACCTAGACCATGAATTTGTCTAGGCCAGCTCAGATCAGCAACTGTTACACAAACATTTCAAATTTTATTATGATGCTTGTACACCCATATTTTCATGATTGAGTATATATCAGATGCTGCTACTGATATATGCTCAAGCATCATGCTGGACTTTAGGTCAACCATATTAAAATAAGATTGAATCATTATTATTTTAAATTTATTGTAAAAATTTTAAAATTCTAAAAAAAAAAAATTTCTATTTCTGATTTTAGGGTTGTGTACATAAAATGGAGTTCTTGTATGAAGTAATTTTCTGTGATGTTTGATGTAGTGTTATATTTGCTTTTAATCAATTAATACTATCTTACGGCAGACTTCCCGAAATACGTCGGTCCGACGGACATGTCCGATAAATTTTGATCAGGTCCGACAATTTTTTATTCCGGATCGGTCCGACTGTCCGGCTTTTATCCAAGCCGCATGTATACAAAATGGCGTCGCTAAAGGTGCCAAACCTGGGAATAACCGAAAATATACGTCAGAAGAGTGCGCAGAAAAGCAATAAAAGGATGGAAAGAATAGACCTGAGACAAAATTTAATGAAAAATGGAAGCAGAACCATGAATCATTGGTGTATGACAGGGAGGAGATGAAAATGCGCTGTACGGATTATGCCGATTTTTACGGCGAAAAAATAAAAACAAAAAGTGTCTTAGAAATACAAACACAAGTTTTTCTTTGATTTTGATCAATTTTATTTGGTCCGACAGATTTTGTTTCAGTCCGACAGATTTTCGTGGTTTGTCAGACCGAATGTCTGACAGTTTTTTTCAACTTTCGGGAAGTCTGTTACGGTACCCATATTTATATTTTCACATAAATCTTATTTGTTTTACAGAGTCACTCATAAATGTACATTGATCTTCTTAATACTTTTATATATTTTCTTTTATACAGATTGTTTGTTTGTATTGTTAAAGGATAGTCAGTTATGTTGGAAAATAGCTTATATAGCTAATGTTTATATGTTTTATCAGGGCTGGCAACAGCAAATTGCAAAATCAGAGGAAAATATGCCGGGGGTCAAGGGGGCTGCACAAGCCCCCATTGCGGGTCCAGGGCAGAGCCCGGTGGGGGCCCAGGGGAAGCTCCTGGATTCTGATGATTTGGTATGCCCTAAAATCAATTTCCTGGACTCTAAATTTGACTTCCTTGGTTGCCTTTAAAGCCATTCAGAGACACTTTAGTTGGACTTCAGGTTTTCATCAGCCCTCAAAACAAATATCTGACATTTTGACGCATTTTGACAACAGACAAGAGCGACAATGTAAACTGTAATTTGATTGGTTATTCTAAAATAGAATGCCGGAAAAGACTCGATTTGACCAATGAGGAAAGCGCTTACAGATGTACCATGGGCGGCTAGCGTAAGGATAAAAGCCGAAGCGTGCCGGTTTTTGGGTACTGTATAAAATATGACGAATTAATTTATTGTCTTTGTCGGATTTACATCGATCTCAAAAATGATTCAGCTCACGAAATCCGCGGATTTCCGCGAAACTGCGGAAAATCGGCAGCCCTGTTTTATGTAACCTACTATAAATAAAGATTATCTTATCTTATCAATGATAATAGGCAGGGTAATCGGATAACGGAACAATAGCGGAAGTCAAAGCCCGGGGCCGAGAAGCCGCCCCGACTTTGGCTTGCTTCTCTATTGACTACAAGTGTATATTCAAAAACAAAAAACTATATAGAATTCTATACCTATCAGCGAAATTTTCAGTATCATTTCTAGTTGGGTGCCATATCCCAATGATAAACGGCGGTGTATTCCAATTAAACCCAATCGCAATTTTTTGACTTTACTGCAAGGTACAAATATAAAAGCCGAGGAATTCTGATTGAAAACGGATGTGTAGACTGGTTCCCTTCCGACTTCTATGGGGACCATAATAGGACATTGATCCAGAATAAACAGAAGCAGTGCATTGATACAGAATGGCACTTTAAAAATGGAAAATGTTGGATTAAAATGAAAAATTATTTTACTGACTTCCCCGTTCATAGGCTTTGCATAATTTCATGTAAGTGAAAAGTATTTGAACTGTAATTTCTCTCAATAAACTCGCTTTGAATCTTTGCCCATATTAAAGAGGACGTAACAGAGCTTAGAAACAACTGATAAGTTAACATGATACAAAAAACACAGAAGTTAAAAACTTCTAGAAAATTCTGTTACAAGTAAACAATTTGTCGGTTTCAAAAATTACAAGAATAAAACAAAACAAGTATAATATGTAAAAAGTCTACATCTATTTCATTCACTTTACCTCGATGTGATCCCATTTGCTGTAATTAATTGTTGACATTTTCAATAAAATAAAATTTGTTAAAACTCGCGAATTTTCGGTTTAAACGGAACCGGAAGTCTAGAATTTAGTGAATCCGTACGTTATACTTTTTATATCGTGACTAACATACGGGCAAAACACTACTAAATTCCTGATAAGTTGCAATAATATATTATAGTTTTCACTACTAATGTTGTTTTTTTTATTTGTTTTTTTTTTACATATTCGTGTTAAAAGTTGCATGAAATTGAGACAGATGCCCCAATTCGTGTCAAGACGTTAAGAGTTTTTTTTTGTAGCTTTCTTTAGGGTTTCTATTTTTCTCTATTTCATTGTCACATGGCGTGTGGCGACTGTAAAATGTCTCCCCGTACATTTAAATCAATGATGTTATAATTTCGATCCTTGAAGATCGTTCAGCACGACATTATCGTTGTGTATACATATTATATGGTATTTTTAGTTTCTTGTATTGGCATCTTTGAACTTGAGTGGTTCCAGTATTCCAACTTGAATACTGTATAATCACCCTTAGGATGTACGTATTGCCTGCTTTTTAAATTTTTCTTTTGACGTCTTGTCTGTGATATGCAGGCTTCATAACCTCAAATCCCCTTTCTTAATTCCATTTTATATTTGTCCTGCCCATTGCTTTCATGTTTAGGGCACACGCATTCTTTTACTTGGGGACCCTACGCCGCTTTTCATGGAATGACACTACTGTGCCACATTGAAGGTTCCATGATGACCGCCGTATGAACACATCAGCGGATGTTTTTAAATTCAAAATTTCACCAGTTTTGTGTTTAAATGTTGAATATGCTTAAGCCGATGCTAGGGGCGTGGGCGGTTACTTGCACTTTCCAGTACCGTCCATGAACAGGCTCAACCAAACCGAGCCTGCAACATTTAACAATTTTGCCGTGATGGGCTTTTTTAGATTAGGGATTCTGTTTTTCTCTATTTAATCAGAAGTTACCAAAGTTGGCGACAAACGACGTTCGTTTATTAATTTTATGTTATTATGTTAGCCAAGTATTTTTGCTTTCTGCAGTAGTTTAAGTTTTTTGAGCTTATTTAATAATATTACATATTACAAGAGAACTCGTGTAAAATTGTTCAATTTATAAAATGTCAGATCTCTAAAGTTTCAAATATTTTTTTTAAATAATAATTAGTAATTTAATGCTTTAATTGAATTTTAATGCTGATTTCCAATAAAACCTTAATTTATGTAATGTCGAAGACGGATTTTGTGAAGAAATAACAGTGAAGTTGAACTTGCAAACAAAAACATTTGGTGTTCCAGTGGATAGCTTTTATAAATGCATGCTCGCTGTACTAGTATTGTTTTAAAAGTGATGACTGTCACATCGTATAAAAGGGACACTTTTTTTCATATAAATGATGCAGTTTGCTTTTACCAGTACGATTAATGTCCCAAAAAGTAAGATACGTGACTGTTGCCAACTAGAGTTTTCAACTTTGATGATGTGTTGTTATTAAATGGGTTTCAGAATAGACAAAACTTTTACTTTATTGGCATCTTCACTTTGAAACATAAATCTGGATGTTAAAACATATTCGCTATCAATTTAGCTATGTTTCATTTTTAATTCACCTATTTTCCATTTCAGATTGATATAAACATTACAAAGTTTTTAATGTAATTCTGTTCAAGTACATTTCAAACAAAGAAGAATAAATCTGGGAATAAGTACACACAAATAATTCTATGCTAAAATTAGATGAAATAATAATAAAATGGAAAATGATCGAGCCATTCTGAGCTCAGATGCAGAGTTACTTTCCATGAATGATTCAAGAACCAGTGGTTCCCGTTGTTTTCTCCTTTCAATAAAAAAAGTTACAAATGTGACCGTTAGCTGCACGTGCGCGTCTTCAGTAGGTCAATTATAGATTTGATTTTAGACCAATACCTAATCGTTCACATTACAATCACAATAAGTTGAAATCCTGATCGATTTGTTTACTATTTATAGTAAAAGGTGTATTAATATACAATATTTTGATAAAAAGTTGAACCTGAAAACTGTTTTATGTTTGTTTATTTGGTGTGGATGCAGAGAATACGAGATGTTGATACTATGAGTTTATTTCTAAGACTGTTTGACAATATGTAGTCAATTGGTCAGTACACTAAGTAGACGGGGCCTTACAATCAAGTTTAAAGGTACTGCATGCAATATATATTTAATGTAGAATTAAATATGAAACAATATATATTTAATGTAGAATTAAATATGAAACGAAATTCAGGTCAGAAAACATAGAAGGTCAACACATAAACCAATTTTATGTAAGTCAGTATATTTCATTTAATCTTGTCTATTGATTAATTAATTATTGTTGTTATGTTATATTTTTATGTATTAATTTGTTTTATTTCCCGGTATAATTGTAATTTGTAAAATGTATGTACGTGTTTGTTTTATGTCATTTGTAGTCAAAGATCACGCCCAGGTCGTTTTTTCTCACTAACCTATTGGGTTTTACAGATATTGTAATTGTGTTATTCCATTCTTTATGACAAAGTAACAGTGTGTACTTTGTCCAATATGCATAATTTTACTCCTTTTTTTTGTCCTGAAGACTTAGTCTTTGTGTCCATTTATGATATAATATAATTTTGCGTCGTCTGCAAATAGTGTCTGTCTTCTAAGAAGCTTTAATCTTTTAACTCTGCCCCTTATACGTAATATTGTTAGTGGTCCTTTGTAAGGAACTTGCATTTCAAATTTGTTCTTCAACAGCTCGTTGCGATATTCATGTTTTATATTTTCTGACAAGTTCTCGAATTTTCTAATACAAAATGTAGCATTCTTGTCTTTTTTGGATTACCAGTAAATACTTTGCTCTTGTAAAATACTTTTATTTTTGTTGACCTAATGCAGATCTAAATAACAGTACCAATAGAGAAGAGTCATCGTTATACAATAAAAAAAATAGAATGAACTATTATTTAATTAATTAAGCACATTTGATCGTAATTGATTAAAATATTTTTAAAAAGACTTTAACGTGTATATTTCTGTTCTGTAATTTAAAGATTTTTTTAATGAGACACGACAACTGAGTTATTCTATACTTATATATATAATTATGATGTTTCATTTTATATACATTGAGCACGGATTTATTATCAATTAAAGTCCGTGCATTGAGTTAGCAAAATACGATTACAGTTTAATTATTTTCCTAATTTTGTAAACTTTAGAAGATCTTAACTTAAGTCAGATTGTTATTTTCCTCGGGATATTGTTATTTCTCAAGCAAATCAAGCTTGCCTTTTCTTATTACACACACGTATGTTTACTAGTATTTGGTCGTTGATCTAATTTATTTTGTGTTATATGACTCTTTATTAGAAATAGTAGTTATCCATTATCCTATATTCTACTCTTCAAGACCCATTATGCCTACGGAAGGATTAAATATGAATGTCATAACGTTATAAAATTATAAAATTATTTTAGTGTACATGTTAGATGCTTATCCCCTGACGAACTTGTGAGAAGCTAGAGCTATTGTTTGTGTGTTTTTTTTTTGTTTTTTGTTTTTTTAATTGCATGTGTATTTTTTTCTCTCGGAAAAGTAGCAAAATGTAAACAAAGTGTATTTGATTTCTATACAAGATATATAAGTTAACTGTACTAATTGCAAAAAAGCAACAGAAGCAAAAGATGGTTCAGATAATGGCAAATGAATAACGCACGTTATGGAAACTATATACATATATTTATAACATATAATACTAAAATTAAAAAAGAAGCTTTTGAGCAATAATATATAGGAGCATTTCTAGAGCCTGGTGTTATATAATCAGATACGTGTAAAGTCATTCTTAAGATAGTTCACATATAAGTAAAAAGGAAAACATTCGAGTAAGGTATGATATATACGCATTTTCAGTCTGTTTTTAGTTGCTTCCTACCGATCTAACAATAATATCATTTTTATAACCGGTGAAAATAATGCACCGTTTCGTCGTCCAATCAAATCAGCGAGCGCTTGTTTTGAAAAAGAAAGAAAATAAAAATATATTTTGTAAGTTTAGTGTACTTTTTCATTAATTTATGGAAGTTAAGACTAATTGAATATTATCTTTTATTTGAATTTACCATATGCATTGCCTGTTTGTTGTGCAACCGTTAAAAAACAATGTAAATCACAGAGTCGCGAAAACGCATGGTTTTAAGATTTTGACAGGCTCTTGGGCGTTAATTTATGGGCTATTCCAGAAAATATTCGTACCCCCGCCCATGGAAGGCATTTTCACCCCCAAACTACCCCCGACACTTATTATTGACGCCCACCCTACTCATCTACCAACTAGCACAAACTATTTTAAGTCCTGCACAGTAGTCCTAAGACTCCTATAAATATGACGTCGCTTTGAGATGTTTTTGCTTCTTGGCAAAGCAACGTCATATCAAAATTATCAAAATTGCTCAAAAACCCATAGCATGTTCCGCCAGAAAATCGGGCGGAACGAAAAACAATGAAGACAGCGTGTATTTACATAAGTTTTGACCTATTTATGAACAAAACTAAAAAATAAATACCTTATGTCAAAATAATTAAACTGTCACATCCGAAAAATCATGATTAAATCCTCTCATGTGTTTGAATTCCTTTTTACAGCAGATAAACAAATGGCGGCCATAAAGTGTGCGAAATCTGATTGGCTAATTCAAATGCAAGCGTTTAATTGAGTCAGAACAATCTAACGGAATATTTTTTTAACGAAATAATTGCCCATGCACCGTCAGTGTGTTCGAATATATTTTTCCGTTCAAAAATTTGGAATCAATCTGTAAAGCACCTTGCTTAACCAGTATGGCTGATAGAAAAAAATAGATTGATGTTTATACGAGGAAGTCAAAGTCCGGGCCCGCGAAGCAGGCCCGGGCTTTGGCTTGCCCGACTATACTGGCATGCGAGCAGTTCCCGTACAGAAGCAGTACCCGTATTTTTCATTTAAACGCTTGATTTTTACTTGCATTCATCAAAAATTAATTTCAAATCAAGCAGATACATAAACGAGACAAAATCTAAGTGTCAGTTCGGCAGTACGTATATAAAGTCTCATTTTAAATCACTTTCACCTGTGCGTCGTCAAAACGTGACCTTGTTTTTTCTGGGGGATTCCGTCCTTGCGCGCATGCGCAAAAATACTTACACGTGAGGCTTGTTAAAGGGTTTTCCACTAATACCACCTGTTTACAATAAGTAGGCAATGTGATGAAAACTTGTTTAATTATCAGAATGTTGACCACTATTACTATATATAATAATTTTATGGCTTTGATGCGTAAAATATCATGCATACAAGCATGCTATTGCCTGTAAATGCGTTGGGGTAACGGTACCGGGTAATAGATACCCGCGTTTAGTCTACGCTCTATTTCCTGAATTACATCTATTTATCTTTTAGATAATGGTCTGTTCAACAATTGTAAATGAAAAATAGGTCCGATATAATAAAATTGTATAATTATAATGGGTTAGATTTTATGTACGGGAACTACTTCTCTTCATACAAAATAATTGATAATTTCGGTACCCCATATGAGGCCTCATAACTAAGGGTTATTCTATGTTTAGAACATGATGGAATTTCCATGATTTGTGTGACGAGCTGAATATTGATGTGTAACATTCAAATTTTGGTGAGTGAGCGTAATAAAAAATAATGTTTAAGTAACTACGATTTTTGTACGGGAACTGCTCGCATGCCAGTAGACTACACGTGTATATTTAAAAGAAAATCAAATAAAAAAACAATTAAAAAATATATAGAATTCTATACCTATCAATGAAATTTTCAGTGTCAGTTCTAGTTAGGTGCCGCCATTTACAATGTAACTCAATGATAAAAGGCGGTGTATTCCGATAATGGAACAAATCTCAACTTTTCGGATTAATAATAATCGTCGAGTGTTCCGAGTGAAAACGGAAGCGGGTATATATAATACCGAATGACACCTTTAAAACGGAAAAAATGAAAGGATTTTTTACCGACTTCCCCGTTCATAGGCTCTGCCTAATTTCATATTATTTTATTTTAAATTGATAAGTACATTGTTTGAGAGTTTTTGTGTATGATTGAGCATAAAATTGAAAAAAAAAGAAGATAAGCTTTTGAATAAAGCTTGAAAGGCAAGACAATAGACATTTTTGAATTTTTTATGATGCTATGCGTTTTTGAGCAATAACTATTAGACGTCAGACTTGACCGACATAAAACTATAAAAATGTGTTTGGGATAAAAAGCCTGTAGCTTCTAATTTATTGGACTACCCTGCACAGGTACAGTGTTTGCATCTAGGACTAAGGACTCATGATTTGCACATATTTTTTGCAGATCGCGCATTTTAATGAAGTCAAATTATGCACACCAAGTCGCGCATCTGACAATCTTTTTATCTTCATCTTGAACAAGCTGTTTGAACGCTTCAGCCATGTTTGTTTTTACTCGCTGTAATGACTAAAATACATACTAAATCGCGTGTAGCAGCCGACTTGGTCATCTCGCGTGTGTGTATTGTAGTATTCGTCAATAATTTATTTTTTTATTTCCGTTGTTGAGTGTACCATAGCTGTCAAAAATGCCTAAATGTAAGATAATTGAATTCTTTTCGGTATGTCATATTGTAAGGTAAATGCACATGTATTGTTTTTTTTTTCACTTTTGGGGGAAGGGTGTCAGTGCCCTTTGGAGGGGGAAAAATGCACTACTATAGGAGGGGGAATTTTATTTGTATATTTTTTTATATTGTTTTCTTTGCGATGGAAAAGAGGAGCAACTCTTGCAACACAAGTTTAAAATACGTCTCTTTTTTCTTAATATATACGGATCTAAATTTTAATGCGTCGTATGTTAAACTTGTTGGGACGCCGGGAGTAGCTCCCCTTACCTACCAGAGAACGATTTGTAAACAACCTTGCTTAACAGTAACTCTTACAGGCATTAAATAAAACATTTTTGGGCAGTAAGTTGCAAAAAAATGATATTTATTGCAGGCAAATTCGGGCTGCCATAAAGGGGGAAATTTAGGCTTTGAGGGGGGGAAAAAACATGCTATTTTGAGGGGGGAATGGGGCCGAATTTCGCCGAATATTTTGGTGGAAAAAAACACTGATGCATGTCCCCCACTTTTTTTGTTCAAATCCCCCACATTTTTCAGTTGAGTGGGGGATAGTCCCCCATAATTTTGAAATTCTAGATGCAACACTGAGGTACCCCTTGGACATCCTATGGCAGGTTTTCCTGAAATATACCCTCTCCCCTGGAGACATTTTCATGTAAAAATACCCCCATGGACAATCCTGGAGATTGCCATTTTTTCGGCTATATCCAGGAATAGACCCCTAGTGAATTTTCTCACTTAATTGGGAAGAGGCCTTAGCCTCTTGATAATTTGAATTTGGGAAATTTGAAAAATTATCACTAAAATTGCTAAATAAGAATAAGGAAGTAAAAAGGCAGGTTTAAGTTCAGATTTCTGAAAAAACTGCATGATTTTTAAAGAAAATATCAATTGAGAAGAGGCCTTTTATCGGAGTGACGAGTCTGTTACATAAGCAGGAAAATCACTGACCCCTGGGTCTAAACCAGGAGTATATAAGGTTCATTCCATTTTCTTTAGTGTATTATAAAATTTATATACAAGTTTTGCTTCAGAAATAGGGGTCTAATCCAGGAGATTGCCAATTTTTCAACATGCCCCTGAATGGGTACTCCTTGGACACTGTATCAGTCGGGCATACTTCCTGATCGGGAAACAAGGGGATTTCCCTTCAAGGCTTCCCAATCAGGCAGCAAACGTCAAAATCCTTCCTGATCGGTAGAGGTGTAATGATTCATTGATGCATCGTGATCTGCCCTGTCCTCGATGTATGCATCGTAATGAAATTACAAATTCCAATATATCGCGATGCAATACATATTTCACCTTCGATGTATCGATATAGCGGCAAAGTATCGCAATACACTAACAATATCTTCTAGGAATATAAGGACAAAAGTATTTTTTGAAAGACTGAAGATTGTAGACATTTTAAAAGAAAATGACTCGGTAGGATTTTAGATGTATGATCTTTTCTGAACTTAGGTATGATATTCATATTGAAGTGGGTTGAAAACTGTAATGCACCGGCCATTTTTCTTGAACTATGTAAAAAAGGCCAAAAAAAACAAATTCCCGATTGGGAAGGATTTTGACGTTTGTTGCCTGATCGGGAAGCCTTGAAGGGGAATCCCCTTGTTTCCCGATCAGGAAGTATGCCCGACTGTGTATGGAAGGCAATTTTGCTGAAAAAGACCCCCCTGGACAACCATTTCAAATACATCCCCCTGAACAAGTAGTCAGACTATTCTCTCCCTTACCAGTTCCTCCCATGCCTTTTCTTTCCTTTTTTTGGGAGAGAACTGTCTGCAAATGTGCAGACAGTTCATCCCGGGGACATTAATACTAGTGATTATTTATATAAACATAAAATTGATGATAAATATTGAAGAAGAAATAATATTGGATAAAGTCATAAATTAAATGTTAAAGTAGCTGCGGACAGATTCTAAAGTCTAGCCCATTTGACTTTAGAAAGAAGGGGATTTAGACCAAATAGAGGGATCAACAGCATGTCTATTCATGCACTACAGTGCTTAATTCATGCTCAAAATACTACATGAACACAAAAAGTGCATATAAAGTAAAATCATCAGAACAATCAAATTTTAAATGAATGTTTGCATATCACATGCCATTGCCTTCTTCCTATTGTAAGAGATGGTCTTCGCATGTCTGCTGCCATAAAATCATCTAAGTCTAACTTGTAAATATTTTAGCCATTGTTGACGTCACATGTACTGTTGTAAGAAAATTTTTAGTTATTTACAGCAACTACCAAAAAGTATTTTAAATTTCTTACATGATCAAAAAGTTAGTCACTTTTCTTTTTACAATTAACTTTAATTTTGAGCCTTGCAAATTCTATTAGAATTTGTGAAACAATATATTGTTGTTGTTGGTACCATTCAATATCATATAGACATACCAGTCAACATGTATCAATTTTCCATACAACCTCAAAATTTCAATATTTTGTATTTCTTCCACATATCAGTCATGACCTGTAAAGTACCCAGTGTTTTTTTTTTCACTTTTGGGGGAAGGGGGTCAGTGCCCTTTTGAGGGGGGAAAATGCAATAGGAGGGGGAATTTTATTTGTTTTTTTCTTGATATATATACGGATCTTAAATAATGATGTGTCGCATGTTAAACTTGTTGGGACGCCGGGAGAAGCTCCCCTTACCTACCTGAGAATTTCGCTGAATATATTGGTGAAAAAAAAACACTGGTACCATAGCATATGGATGGTGTTTACACCAACGCCAGATATTACACAGCAACACCGTTGTATAATTAGCTCACCTGAGCATGCTCAGGGTGAGCTTTTAGGATCGATGATTGTCCGTCGTCCGTCCGTTCACATTTTGTTGTTAACACTCTAGCGGTCGCATTTTTGCCTCAATCATCATCAAACTTGGTCAGGATGCTTATCTAGTTGATAGCTCGGATGAGTTCGAACATGGGTCATCTCGGATGAAAAACTAGGTCACAAGAGCTAAAAATAGAAAAACCTTGTTAACACTCTAGAGGTCACATTTTTCCTCAATCATCAAACTTGGTCAGGATGTTTGTCTAGGTGATAGCTTGGATGAGTTCGAACATTGGTCATCTCGGATGAAAAAGTAGGTCCCGGAGCTTAAAATAGAAAAACCTTGTTAACACTCTAGCGGTCACATTTTGCATTAATCATCATCAAACTTTGTCAGGAAGCTTGTCTAGGTGATAGCTGGGATGAGTTCGAACATGGGTCATCTCTGATGAAAAAGTAGGTCACTGGAGCTAAAAATAGAAAAACCTTGTTAACACTCTAGCGGTCACATTTTTGCATCAATCATCATCAAACTTGGTCAGGATGCTTGTCTAGGTGATAGCTTGGATGAGTTCGAACATGGGTCATCTCGGATGAAAAAGTAGGTCACCGGAGCTAAAAATAGAAAAACTTTGTTAACACACTAGCGGTCACATTTTTGCCTCAATCATCATCAAACTTGGTCAGGATGCTTGTCTAGGTGATAGCTTGCATGAGTTCGAACATGGGTCATCTCGGATGAAAAACTAGGTCACAAGAGCTAAAAATAGAAAAACCTTGTTAACACTCTAGCGGTCACAATTTTGCCTCAATCATCATCAAACTTGGTCAGGATGTTTGTCTAGTTGATAGCTTGGATAAGTTCGAACATTGGTCATCTCGGATGAAAAACTAGGTCACAGGAGCTAAAAATAGAAAAATCTTGTTAACACTCTAGTGGCTACTGTTTTGATCCAAATATCCTGTAAATTGGTCTGAAAGTTTGTTTTGATGATTTCTAAGTCAAGTTCGAACATGGGTCATCTTGGATGAAAAACTAGGTCACACCGCCCAAATATTGAAAAACTTTGTTAACATTCTAGTGGTCACATTTTCAACTCAATTATCATCAAACTTGGTCAGGATGCTTGTCTAGGTAATTGCTCGGATGAGTTCGAAATCGCATGTGAAACTAGGTCACCGGAGCTTAAAATAGAAAAATCTTGTTAACACTCTAGTTGCTACTGTTTTTATCCAAGTATCCTGGAAATTGGTCTGAAAGTTTGTTTTGATGATTTCTAGGTCAAGTTTGAATATGGGTCACCTGGGTACAACTAGGTCACACTGCTCAAATATGGACAATCCTTGTTAACACTGTAGTGGTCACATTTTTGACTCACCTGTCATGAGACTTGGTCAGAATGCTTGTCTAGGTAATTGTTTGGATGAGTTTGATGGGTCAGGTGAGCGATCTAGGGCCATCATGGCCCTCTTGTTTAAAATTTATTATCACTTAACAATATCAAATACTCATGACGTTTATATTAAGGGAGTTCATGGCGTCACTTAATGTTGTTTCAAAAAGAGGAGTAATCTAGAACATGAAATTAACAGAGGGATGGGCAAGTCTGATGAATTGTTGCTCCATTACATCACATTTTCAAATCAAAACTCACTAAATTTTAAACTGACCATACAATCAACTTCTAAGGTAAATGTTCAATAAAATTTTCTTAACTTATTTGTTTGTGTGACTGTGTCCATTTGACTCACTGATCAATTTAGCTTAGCAAAGTGTTAAGTACACTGTTTTTTTACTGACAAATGGCTCTCTTGTTTCTATTTAAGACTACATACAAAGTGGATAATGTGAGAGTATGAGTCTTGCACATCTGAAGGAACGGCTGAGCCAGATCTCAAGGAAACGCTCGGAGGATACCTTCACATTTGATATAACAGGTAAGGCTGTTGTTACATTGTATGATTTTGTTGCAATGTATGATATAATGATTTTGTGTAGTTCATGTTTTTATGCCTCTCACAACAAAAGAAAATTTTATATGATTTATATCTTTGGACATGTTTAAAGGGAAAGACAATGTTAGAATAAAAACTTGATTTCAGAAAAAGAATACTATAAATAATAAGTATGCAAATTTTCTGCCGCCAAATAATAATATTAAACGAATGATAACAAAATTTAAATCGCTAAATCACCGATTTCTACAAATCAGTAAGCGCGGCCATGTTTGTGTATTGGCCGTATAAAAACAGGTGCGCGTGATGTCATTTCCCCACATCTTTAGATTCATGATAAATCTAGTTGAATCGTAAGGAAATATTAATGACCAGACAATTTCATTTTCACAGGAGGTGTAGAGGAGATTTTTTATGGTTCAAAATACGTAACAATATCAAAAAAATAAATAAAAAATAAAGAAACGTACGACTAGCCAAAAGTTCTAGCCGTACGTGAGTCACGAACGACTAGCCAGGACGCACTGTACGTATTGTCTAGCCGTACGGCACTTTTCAAAATTATATGGAAGTCGAACGTTATAAAATTGTTGATTTTCATGCTTATCATTTGTTGTTTTATTTGTATGAATTATTAAATCATTTTTGTTAATTTTAAGCACATGGATCGAATAAAAAATGATCGGAGTGGAATAAATAAATAAAAAGAACATTGAATGAAAAAAAAAAAAAAAAACGGTGAAATGCAAAAATAATTATATAATTTTCAAAACAGTAGATAAATATCGAACATAAAAGCACAGTCAATCAATTAATCAGCCTTAATTAAACCTATCCAGGGACTGACAATAGAATTTTAGAATGCCTTTCACGGAACATGCAAACTTTCCTTGATGGACAAACTTCTATACAGTACCGTCGGTAATTGTCGCAATTATCAAGAGCCTAACAACAATCATTTTCAGTGTTTGTTGTTTTTTTTTTCATATAAAAGGTGTCGAAAATTAAACTTAATGAAACAAAAAAGGATTATTATCAAAATTTTGTAAACTATTTCAATTGGTGTAAATGCAAGCAAAGGATTTTTTTTTTTCTCGACATCTTGCGATGACAAAGATCGATATATATAGCGATCAAGGCGATTAATCTCTAAAAAGTTAACATCCAAAGACAATTAATGCTGTTTCTTGGTTAAAATCCTCGCTTAAAGTCATAAAATAACATATGCATTTTCGACTTCCATAAAATTTTGAAAAGTGCCGTACGGCTAGCCAATACAGCGTGTCCTTGCTAGTCGTACGTGACTCACGTACGGCTAAAACTTTTGGCTAGCCGTACGGGCCCGTACGCTAGCCACTTCCATTATAAAAAACCCTACTAAAACGTGTTCTTAATAGTACATATAATTAAATTTTTGCAGTTTGATTCTGACTTTCAAATTTAAAGGTGTGAACATATTTTATAATTGATGTACACATTTCAAAAATATAAGCAACTCTTTTGAAAAGTAAATTGTTAACATGTCTGTCAACGTATGATGCTGCGCATCGTAATCGTAGCCTAATATTAACTGCAGGCAAATCATTTTTTATTGGCTGCTCAAAAGTCTAATTTGCATAATTTATTCACACAATTGCTGGTTTTTACTACTTATGTCTAATACTGCGCATTGTCCATTTTAATTGTTCCTAATTTGCACCAAATGCTCCTGTCACACTGTGTACTGACGATTTTTATTGCTCCTTGTATGCCTCTGTGCCGACAGACCTTTTGATCATGCACAATGTTGCCCTGATTGGTTAATCACCCTTGTCAAATATTCTAATGACGAAATAGACATCTATTTTTTTACGCTTCATCAGTGAACTGAATGACCTTAGGGGGATTAGGTTCCACACCTGTCAAATTATACTGTAGTAAATTACAGCACGTCATAAAATAGCAACACATTTTTTTCAGTTACCAATAATCATTTTAAATATTAAGTAGATTTATGATTTTTTTGTTTTATTGGATTAAATTTACGGTAGTAGAAATGCGTATCTGTCGGGGAAAGGAATTTGGTAAGTAGATATATATTGGATTTAGTTGATATTTTACCTGAAAAAAAGATACATGACCGGCGATGTACCCTATTTGGACAGCTTGCCTAGCGAAAATTAAGTACAAAATAAAAGGATATATCGTCAATTTGAAGAAGTTTCTCAGAGTACCCAAATTAAATTTATGGTTTATCTTTGAAAATTAAGCAGTCATTGCTTAAATCATGTGGTGGGATCATCAGCAAGCTTGAATATCGGAGAAATAATAATTAATGTCGCGGCGTCTTCAATTAATTAATTAAAGCAATTCAGTTCCATATGATGTTTTCATAAATAATATATAATGTACGCAATAAAATTAATAAGTTCTTCATCAAGATATATTTCAGTTGTACCAGCGTGTACACCTATACCGGAAGTGGGTATTACACGTCACAATCTCGGTCTCGTCTGTCTCGCGAGAATGACAGAACGCCAAAATGGCGGCGCCCATGAACTTATTTCTCAAGTAAAAAATAGTGTCTTAAAACACGAATTCCTCTCTTATAGGGTTGATGTCAATAGGAAAACTGTCATGGTTCCTCTTTTTAAATGATGATTATTTATATTAGACAGACATCAATCCATCCATTCCTATTCCTTTAACATCTTCCCTTTAGAGTCTCACCATCCTTTTATATCTAGAGTTTCATTATGACATAGATTTGATTGTTAAATGGCATTTAAATATAATGTAATTATTCATATATTTATATTTTCAAGATTATGTTTTGTTTTGTAATTTTTAATTTCTTCGTAAACACTAAATTGTATCGTTTTCTGTTGAAGTCATAGATTGGTTAATTTTATTATTTAATCCATGTGTTTTAAAGGTTAGTAAACTAAGTTTGCTATGTCAATTGATGGGTAGTAGTCACATCATCTGATATGTTCTGAAAATATGGGTTTTTTGTTTGTTTGTGTTTTTTTACTTCTTTTTTTTTTACATGGTAAAAAAATATTGAATACAAACTGTCAACAGTCTTTGTAACAAATTTATATTTATACACTATTACTGTAATTACATGTAGTACTATCACGTTCCTGTCATTATAGATTTGCAACAGTTGTTTATTTACTATATAGATAATATAAATGCTATAATTGTCCAATGAAATTTGATGTTACAAAAAATAAAAAATTTAGTATTATAATTGTGTTGATGTATATTTGATGAAATTATTTCAGAATGTAAGAATCTGAAGCAACCAGAGGAGTGGCTTGAGTATATACAACATGTTAGAGACAATGTGGGGTTTCCAAATGATCTTACACAGCACAAAGTGCTCTCAGAACTCTATGACAAGGCTTTTCAGGTAGATACATATTCAAGTATAAATGTACCTATATTTTGATGAAAACCTTAGAGCTGGAATGAAATAAGTGGTTATTCATATAAATCATTTAACTTCAAAACTATTAAATTTAACTATTATATTTTTCATCAAACACCAGCCAATGTCATTTTTTTCCAAAGAAATTTTAATGTTTAACTTGTGAAATGTTTATTTCAACAAAATCTACTTTTATTTTTTTTCTTATGACAGAATTAATTCAATATGCCAGGCTTTCCTCATTACTGGTCAGTAAGTCAAGTATTAAGTAAAAGAAAATACACAATGGATGTTTGTATGGAGTAAATGACACATCACTGTCATAAGCTCAAAGGTCAGAGTCACGGTGATATAAAATCATTCTGCTTGTAGAATTTCAAACAGCTATTGAAATTTGTACATGTATATTTTTTCTAGGAGATGAGTTCCTCAAATCATAAGAGTAATGAAACATATGCTCAGCTGTTTGTTAACTATGCCAGGCTCAAAAGGTAAATTATGTGTTGTTTTTTTTCCTTTCTTTTGTGTTGTTGTAGTTTCATTCTGAAGTTTGCTAAATAGCTATTGTCTTTGTTTGTACTTTTTCTTTACAAATGGGGACTTGAGTTGAACCAGCTTCCTCACATGAAAGAATTCAAAGTCCATGTTATGATTTCGAACCCACAGCGTTGAAAGGCATGTGGTTTGAAGTCAACGACCTTAACGACCCGACCACTGACGCCCCTTTTCGGTATTTAATTCAACCAGTCATATAAAGACTTATATATGCAAGGGGTTAAAACTAAATTAAAATTTGTAATAAGTATGCCCTCTGATAGTCAAATTGATTTAAATACAGAAGTTAATTTGACGTTAAATGGAAAAAGCTATTAAAATAGCCCTAAAGAATATCTTTCAAAGTGGCTCTCCAGTCACCTATTTTAAGGTGTTTTTTTTTCCATTCTAGTGTTTGCATCAAAGTCTTATGCACATTTTGTTATTGATATTAAGAATTTGTGAGCAGATTTCGCAAACCCACAGAAACTGAACAGAAAATGAGATGTCTGTTATTTTATATTTTCAGTACGTATATACCAGAAGATGCTATAATGCTGTTTAATCAAGCTAGAGCTATTGTGAGAAAGTTTGCAATGGTTCATATAGCCTCAGCACAATTTGAACTAGAGAGAGGTAAGTTTCTATTATTCTAAGGCCCAAAAATAAGGAGTGGTTTACATTACATAACCATCACTATTGTTTCCTGTCAGTTTTAACTTTTTTACATGAAAATATTTGCTTAATCTAATAAGTCTATGGGAAAGTAATGAATTAAAAGTTGACTCTATTCAATACTTGTGTATAACAAACAAATAATATATTGTGCATTTTTAGCTCACCTGTCACAAAGTGACAGGGTGAGCTTTTGTGATCGCTTTTCGTCCGGCGTCCGTCCGTCGTCCGTCTGTCGTCCGTCCGTAAACTTTTGCTTTAAATGACATCTCCTCATAAACCACTGAGCCAATTTCATCCAAACTTCACAGGAATGTTCCTTTGGTGGTCACCTTTAAAAATTGTTCAAAGAATTTAATTCCATGCAGAACTCTGGTTGCCATGGCAACCGAAAGAAAAATCTTTAAATATCTTCTTTTAAACAACCCTAAGAGCTAGAGCTTAGATATTTGGCATGAAACATATTCTAGTGAGTGTCTACCAAGTTTGTTCAAATAAAAGCCCTTGGGTCAAAATTGGCCCCGCCCCAGGGGGTCATTGATTTTCCCTATATGCATATAGTAAAAACTTAAAAAATCTTCTTTTAAAGAACCATAAGAGCTAGAGCTTAGATATTTGGCATGAAACATCTTCTAGTGAATGTCTACCAAGTTTGTTCAAATAAAAGCCCTGGGATCAAAATTGACCCCGCCCCAGGGGGTCATAGATTTTCCCTATATGCATATAGTAAAAACTTAAAAATCTTCTTTTAAAGAACCCAATGAGCTAGAACTTAGATGTTTAGCATGAAACATCTTCTTATGGGTGTCTACCAAGTCTGTTCAAATAAACAAATAAAAGCCCTTGGGTAAAAATTGGCCCGGGGTGGGGGGGCCTATATACAGGTGAGCGACCTCAGGGCCATCATGGCCCTCTTGTTTTAATGGACCCATCAAAATGTTCCATTAAAGCATAAATATAGTTGTGTGTTTGTTCATACATTATTTGTTAGACTGATATCTTAGTCAAGGTATTAGATGTGTTTTTACATACTTTGGCATCTTCCATTCTGTGGGGTTTTAGGTAAATTGATCTGAAGCTGAATTTATTTCCTTCATATTAATGCCTTGATGTTAGCTGTGTTAAGCCTCAACAGGGAGCATCTGTCTGTGTTAACAATATTCTTGTTTGACCAAAAAAAATTGGTCAAACAAAATTTTAAGATCTTTAACTTTACAATTAATTCTGTTTATTGTATTATTCTGTTGATAGCATAAACACAATTGTGAAATGCTATTTGAATGTTAAATTGGAGCTTTGCTGTTTCTTTAACCACATAATCCTCTTATTTTTCATGTCAAAATCTGCTTTAGACAAAAAAAAGAAGTAAAATTTATTTCAAATAAAATAGAATTTGTTACCTTTGAAAAATTCTTTCTATTGACAGGGAGTTTTCTGTGATTTTATAATATATTTTTTTAGAGATTACATACATGTATTTATTGATATTACTTTCACAGATAACCCAGGCAAAGCAAAGAAGATTTTGGAAAAAGCATTATTGTTTGAAACAAAACCGAAGGAAGACATAGAAATTGCACTGAAGAAGTTGAAAGAAGGCGCAAAAGAAATTTACGTTTCACCACCACGTAGAAAACATGATGATACAGGTATATACACACAAGCATGAACTGGTCTATTAACTCAATTTTGTAAATTTTGTGTCTTCCTATCAGCTTATATATCTTGTGGAAATGTCGGTGAGCGTGATGCATTCTGCAAAAATTTACTGTTGATATTGACCAATATGCTTTTTAACACCCACTTTCTAAATTTTCTTAACACTGTATATGACTGCGTCTGTAAAGTCAATTATCTAGTCAGTGCATGTATACATATATCTGATTCCAAGTGAAGTAGTGTATACTACATACTGCCAAAGTTAAAGTTGAGCTTATATAGGGTAACTGTTTTAAAATAGGGTAATGAAATGTCATATCTGGGTCACCTTAGATAAATTCTTTAAAAAAAAGATATTAAATGCCTAAATGAAAATAAGTGATCTTTAATATACCAAAATAAAATAAATTCCTTAACCTCAATTTCCACCCCTCTTAGACCTTAATATATGCTGGATAAAGTGTGATGTTTTATTTCATTTTTTTTATATATAAAAAATCTCCACAATTCATGAATTATGTATTGTGGTTAAAAATTTTTTCATAATTCTTTGTCAACATTTTCAGAACATCTATCAAGGAAAGGTTCCTCTGGAAGTGAGTCATCTGAAGAGTTACGTCCCATGTCACAACTGACTGACAACATCTCAGCCAACCTGTCAGCTAACTTGTCATTCAGGTAACATGTCATAGCTAACTCATTCAGGTAACATGTCATAGCTAACTTAATCAGGTAACATGTTGTAGCTAACTTGTCATTCAGGTAACATGTTGTAGCTAACTTGTCATTCAGGTAACATTTTATAGCTAACTCATTCAGGTAACATGTCATAGCTAACTTGTCATTCAGGTAACATTTTATAGCTAACTCATTCAGGTAACATGTCATAGCTAACTTGTCATTCAGGTAACATGTCATAGCTAACTCATTCAGGTTACATAACATGTCATAGCTAACTTGTCATTAAGGTAAAATGTCATAGCTAACTTGTCATTCAGAATGTCATAGCTAACTTGTTCAGGTTACATAACATGTCATAGCTAACTTGTCATTCAGGTAACATGTCATAGCTAACTTGTCATCCAGGTAACATGTCATAGCTAACTTGTCATTCAGGTAACATGTCATAGCCAACTTAATCAGGTAACATGTAACCGCTAACTCATTCAGGTTACATAACATGTCATAGCTAACTTGTCATTAAGGTAAAATGTCATGGCTAACTTGTCAGTAAGGTAAAATGTCATAGCTAAGTCATTCAGATAACATGTCATAGCTGTAACATGTCATAGGTAACTTGTCATTCAGGTAACATGTCATAGCTAACTTGTCATTCAGGTAACATGTCAAAGCTAACTCATTCAGGTAAAATGTCAAAGCCAACTTATTCAGGTAAAATGTCATAGCTAACTTGTCATTCAGGTAACATGTCATAGCTAACTTGTCAATTAGGTAAAATGTCATAGCTGAGTCATTCAGATAGCATGTCATAGCTTAGTCATTCAGATCGCATGTCATAGCTAGCTTGTCAGTAAGGTAAAATGTCATAGCTAAGTCATTTAGATAACATGTCATAGCTAACTTGTCATTCAGGTAAAATGTCATAGCTAAGTCATTCAGGTAAAATGTCATAGCTAACTTGTCATTCAGGTAACATGTCATAGCTAACTTGTCATTCAGGTAACATGTCATAGCTAACTCATTCAGGTAACATGTCATAGCTAACTTGTCATTCAGGTAAAATGTCATAGCTAACTTGTCATTCAGGTAAAATGTCATAGCTAACTTATTCAGGTAACATGTCATAGCTAACTTGTCATTCAGGTAACATGTCATAGCTAACTCATTCAGGTAACATGTCATAGCTAACTTGTCATTTAGGTAACATGTCATAGCTAACTTGTCATTCAGGTAACATGTCATGGCTAACTCATTCAGGTAACATGTCATTGCTAACTCATTTAGGTAACATGTCATAGCTAACTCATTTAGGTAACATGTCAAAGCTAACTTGTCATTTAGGTAACATGTCATAGCTAACTCATTCAGGTAACATGTCATAGCTAACTTGTCATTTAGGTAACATGTCATAGCTAACTTGTCATTCAGGTAACATGTCATGGCTAACTCATTCAGGTAACATGTCATTGCTAACTCATTTAGGTAACGTGTCATAGCTAACTCATTCAGGTAACATGTCATAGCTAACTTGTCATTTTAGGTAACATGTCATAGCTAACTGTCATTCAGGTAACATGTCATGGCTAACTCATTCAGGTAACATGTCATTGCTAACTCATTCAGGTAACATGTCATAGCTAACTCATTTAGGTAACATGTCATAGCTAATTTGTCATTTAGGTAACATGTCAAAGCTAACTTGTCATTCAAGTAACATGTCATAGCTAACTTGTCATTCAGGTAACATGTCATTGCTAACTTGTCATTCAGGTAACATGTCATTGCTAACTCAATCAGGTAACATGTCATAGCTAACTTGTCATTCAGGTAACATGTCACAGCTAACTCATTCAGGTAACATGTCATAGCTAACTCATTTAGGTAACATGTCATAGCTAATTTGTCATTCAGGTTACTTGTTGTAGGTAACTCATTCAGGTAACATGTCCAAGCTAACTCATTCAGGTAGTATGTCAAAGCTTACTTGTCAAAATAGTTGACGACCCCATCATTTTAGATGAGTGGGTAACAAATGACCCCCAAAATATTCTGGCTAGCTGTAACACTGGGTAACTAGTCATTCAGGCAACATGTCATACCTAAATTCATCCAAATAAATTTCATAGCTTATTTTTTCGGGCATCGTTAATATTGTTTGATATCTGTTGAAAGTGAATGAAAATGTTAATGTATTTTATAATGATTATTTCTAGTGTTCCTCCTGCAAGGAGTCATTCACAACCAAAAGTAGAGTTAGAGCCACCTCTTCCATTGAAAGTGGAAACTTCTGTCAAGAAAGGCATGACAAGATATTCTCGTAGTACACCTCTTCTCAACAGTGAAAAAAGGTATTTTAAATTTGTATTTATGCTGCTATGGTACAATTTATGTCAAACATGACTTGTCACTTAAACTTACATAATTATCCTCAACAAGAAGCTATAATGAAGCTATAATGAAAATGACCAAGTGAATGCAAAAAAAATACTAACTACAGATCAGCATTGCAGGTTTTTATCTAGACTTACCTAGGCCTGCAGGACTAGTGCCTATTAAATGTTTCTCGCCCTTAGCCAGTAAATTGTACCCACATGATTTTAGATTTTGTAAATTTACCTTTATTTTCTGGGTTTTATTCGATAATGCTATGATGTAAACCTTACAGCTAATTAAAATGAAATTATAAAAAAAAGGAAAATTATTTTCTCATGCTATTTCTGACAGATCACTGAAAATATTGCATATATTCCAGGACATTTTTTCCCTCTAACCATGTTATATGTTTATTTGTTCTCCCTTTCAGGCGTAATATAAACATTGGGCTTCCAGCTCGCGTTAAAAAAATCAATTTACCTTTTGAACCAATGTTGGATGAAGAAGAAGAAATGAATACAATGGACTGTTTTAAACCCTTAGACAATACAAAGGGAGGTAAATTGAATAAGTGTTTGATGTATATGTTGAGTTAATTGTTGATTCACGGTAAAAATGACTGTGAAATGTCTTGTCTAGTAAAACTTGATCTAGAAATCCTTTCATCAATTGGTAATTTGAATCTTAAAGAAAATAATTTCTCATAAAACAAGAGCTGTTGGTGCCTGGAAATTACAAAAGGTCAACAGGCAGTCATGCTACTAAGTATTATTGTACACAGAGGATCAGACTCAAAGTCTTTGTGAGTTCTTATTCCAAAAACGAACATGATATTATAATAATACAAGAGTTCTGTCAATGTTGAATAATAAGTTCAGGTCATAGTATACATGCTACCAATGTTTGTTCTATTATTACGTAAGGTGTGTTTTTTGCATTTGAAGTATTGGAAACTGGTTTGACTAACAAATTTTGCTTTATGCAAAAGGTGTGTGAAGTTATTACTTAACGGAAGTAATCAAGCTAAGCAACCAACGATAAAGCAAGATGATATATTATAATATGAGCCGCGCCATGACAAAACCAACATAATGGGTTTGCGACCAGCATGGATTCAGACCAGCCTGCGCATCCGCGCAGTCTGATCAGGCTCCATGCTGTTCGCTATCAGTTTTTCTACTTGTTATAGGGTTTGTAAGCGAACAGCATGAATCCTGATCAGACTGTGCGGATGCGCAGGCTGGTCTGGATCCATGCTGGTCGCAAACCCATTATGTTGGTTTTGTCATGGCACGGCTCATATATGTTACCTGTATGTTTCAGTGTCATTTAGTTCTCACGCCCATACATCTGGTTATCTCTCCATGACTGCAGACTCAACTATACCTATGGATACAAAACCACCAGAAGTGCCTGTAAGTATACTCTTAACAAATATTATGTACATGAATACTTCTGTTAAAATCTAATGTTAAACAATTCACTTGTAAAACCTGATATGATATGAAAAGTTTTGAGCAGTGTTAAGTTAAAAGAATCTATCACTGTTATCACTGTTTGATTTTACTATGCTAAAACACCTGGATATACAATCAAAATATGTAAAATGTTTTGCTAGGTGTCAAGCTGAATCTAATGATTTGTTTTCCATGTTTCAAGTTTTATAGTTGTCTTCAATTTATACAGTTTGTTGTGGGCTTTTTCTTTGTAGAAAATAGAAGTAGTAGAGCAGAATATGGTTGAGCCACCGAGGGATACGCTACCTAAACCTGTGATTACTCCAAGACTGGATGTCCAGGAAACACCAAACAATAAATGCCTGCCACCTGTCTCAACACCGATGGTAAACTGCTTTTATGAGAATGTTATCACTTACTATATGCTAATGTAGATGTTTGGTAATTTTCTATTAGACCAGTATATTTGTATATAATCAGTTCTATGAAAACAAACGCTTTTCTGTAGCTTTCGCCATTTAAACTTCTTCAGAAAAAATTGACATTTATGTACTTTTTTTTTTTTTTTTTTTTTTTTTACCAGTATATTTGAGCACAGAATATGAGGGGTATTTTTTGTTACTATCTAATCACATGTATGATTGTGTTGGAAAAATTGTACCTGTTTTTATGCCTATGTCTGCATTATGTAGTATTACACAGGGAGGACCTGATGTTAATAAAAAATTTAAAGGAAAAATAATATCTCCAGCACTGTTTGTTTTTATAGCCCAATATGAAGATGATAACAATAAATGATGTACAGTATGCTGTCCTTGGTGTGATGGGGAAAGGAGGATCCAGTAAAGTAAGTTTTTAAGTTATGATTGTAATGCTAGTTTTACAATTGTTTGTCTATAAACAAGATTTCTGCGATTTGCTAGGAGCTAACCCATGCTTCTTATTAGGGAGCATTTATCAATTTTAATAATGGGTAAAAAATACATTGTGGTGCATTTTTGACCTAAAAACATACAAGTTGTTTATGTATGAATGAATAGCTTGATATTTAACCTATTCCAACTGGCTTGCAAAAAAAATTCTCTTAAACAGCTTATTGTACTTGAAGTAGATTTGCATTGACTGTTGATGCACATCATATGTAAACCTTTTAAACAGCCATATTTATTAGAACGTGAAATAATATTGATTATAATTTTGTGGTTATTTAATGTTTGTTTTGTTTGTAGGTGTACCAGGTATTTGACAACAATCACAAGATAAAGGCAGTGAAATGTGTGGATCTAAACAACACAAATGACAGTATTGTAGAGGGGTATAAGAATGAAATTAAATTGTTAAAGAGACTACAGTACTGCGACCAGGTTATAAAGATGTATGACAGGTAAAATAGCCATGTTTGGTTTTAAATTAATATCAACATGTTTTAGTTTGGGAGGAACAATTTGGAAGTTCAGTATGTTGAGTGTTATGTCCATGGACCTTTACTTCGAATTCAATTAATTTCGTGGGCATAGCATTTTGTGGTTTTGTCACAAAGGACATTTGTAGGTTCCTAAACTCAGGGATTTTTTTATTTTTGCAAACAAGCAAAATACAAATGATGTAATGCAAAATAATCATTCAGTTTGTCTGAAATTATGTTTGATCTTAAAGATATGGCAGTAATCATCCACAAAAATTTAGTGCCCACCAAATGATAATGATTTTGCAGTAGTTTGTAATTTCAAGGTAATTTCAAATCCTTGATGACACATGAACTTTTATTTTTACAGTTTGCTTAAGAGACATTTTGTCCAATATGCTATTCATCTTATACTACTGAACTGGATGATTTAATATGAAGAAGGTAGCCTATAGTATATATATATACTAAAGGCAGAAAGTAAAAAAAAAACAGCAGTGAAAGTTGAGAAACATTTTTAGAGTAGCTGCCTATACATCTACCTGGAATAGTGACACCAACAAAAAAAAATATATAAGTTCATCAAAAACTCGAATATATTTATTACAATTTTGACGTGTTAAGATATAAATAATGACTCAATTAAAATACATGTATATTTCAGTGAATATAAACAGGATGAGAATCAGCTATATGTGTTGATGGAATGTGGTAATGAGGACCTTGCCTCTTTCTTCAGAAGTCAGACAAAGACAAGGCGACAACTATCAGATAACCTGATATGTTTCTACTGGGAGATGATGCTAGAAGCTGTACAAGCCCTTCATAAAGAGGGTATGGTTTACCATTTTAAAAGTTTTGTATCAGAATAGTTGAAAGTGCCACGTTTATAAATAATGTATGACAGATAAATAAAAATGTTTAAGGCATTTAGAAATTAATCAATGTAATGAAATCGTGATATCAGTTAAAAAAATAAGGAATTTGTGAAATTTTTACATTGATCATTTAAAGAAGTATATTCCGCTTTAATTTCCCCACAACACCAGTCTAATTATAGCTCTGTCTATAATGAAATGCACATACATGATATTTACATTTACACTGTCAATTTCAAACAGCCTGTACAGTGCTGTTTTCATGATTTACCATTAGAAAAACAAAATATCCTTATACTATTAGCAAGAACCATCAACACAAACATGATTTTCATGCAATTTTTACTAAGAGCTACTTCCACTGCCTGTCAAGCTTTTTCAGTTTTCTTCTGTTTATGAACTGGTTGTAACTTTATCATTTGTAGGTCAATGTTCAAGTTCAAAAATATTGAGTTTCTATGTCAAATTTCAGGAAACAAACTGCATTTCATACATATTATAACTGATCAATGAAACACGTATCAGGTTGTATTTATGGATATGTGGGGCTTTAAGTCTGTGAGTTTGTCTTCATGATAATTCAGTGTATAATTGGTTAACTTGTGTCGAATACTGTCAAAAAGCTGTGGGCAATTTCTATGCAGTTTTATCTGGATTGTGTGAAACAGTTTAGAAATGTATTGCATGTATTGCTTCTCTCAGTAACTGAATAAAATTTTTATTGCACAGAACTCTTTGGACACTTCTAAAACAGGATGCCCTTTTGTATTTTACAACATTTTTTTTTACTTCATAAGAATCAAAGATTCCTCTATTTGGTGACTGTATTATAGAAAGACTCTTTTTATAATACAATGTCTTTAAGCGATAAGCTAAAATTGCATGAAGACAGGTTTTTAATGAATTTATGATATTTTATTTCCCTGAATGTACATTCTAAATTATTTGGTTTATGTCATCTGTTTAATTCCTATAGTCTTGTTACATTACAAGTTTCTGTTTTTCTCTGCAGGTATAATACACTCAGATTTAAAGCCGGCAAATTTTTTGCTGGTTGGTGGCAACCTGAAGTTGATAGATTTTGGTATAGCCAAGGCTCTCCAGCAAGACAAAACAAGTGTGATCCTTGAAACCCCTGTAGGTACCCTCAACTACATGAGTCCTGAGGCCATCATGGACAGCTGTGGGGATTCACAGGGGGAAGGGAAAAAGAAATATAAGGTGTTGTTTTTCTATATAATTGTAAAAATTTTGTAACTACATGCCAAGAAAATTATATAAAACATTCAATCAGCCAAAATAACAGCAGAATCAGGCCCACTTCTGAAATAGATTATATCTCTGTGTTGAGATAAAAAAAATTGATTCTCCTGTAGTTTTGTAAACAAGTTTAGTTTTATATATTTCAATTTTGTGAAATATTGCACAAGCAAACACCAAAATGTCTTCTCTCACCATTTAAGCTGGAAGTTATCATATCAGTTTCAAAATTAAAAAAAAACAACAACAAAACCAAAAAAAAAAAAAAAAATGAAACAAAACAAAAACAAGTGAATAAAAAAAAAACAAGAAAAAAAAAATTCTTTTAATAATGATAAGAATTGTTTACATTGAAAAATATTATATTGTGATAGGCTGATATAACTTGATTTAATGTTCATTACAGATTGGTGTGAAGAGTGATGTGTGGTCACTAGGCTGTATACTATATAACATGGTATATGGTAGAACGCCCTTTCAGAATCTGAAGCATGATCTGTTTAAGTTACAGGCTATAATAAACCCTGACTTTCCTATAGAATTTCCAGATATTCCTAATAAACATCTCATAGATGTGATGAAGGTAACTATATCTTTTCTTCTTACACTTCCAACATTCAATATGTAAATATACATAACATATATTGGGTTGTCTTGACAATGTCATGCCACGGACATAAGCTTGCTATAGAGAATTCCAACTTTTGATTTCTAATTCTTGCACAATCCACAAAGTTTTATATATATATATATACATGTAGTTAATATAATCTATTTATTATCTTACATTTAAATGTACATGTAGCTGGTACAATAGACTCCTTAGCTCATTTTGTTCATTAACTTCCTTAAATGTGACTTGCTGAAATTCATCACATATGATTATGTTTACCTTTGAATATCTATAATAAATTATCAAGTAAAAAAAATAAATTTTTAACCTTTATTTCATCAATAATTTAAGATATGGGTTAGTTGTTTGGACAAGAAGAAAAAAATATAACACTCATGCTTTGTTCTTGTGATTTTGTTTTTTCACATCTGATCTCCTCTAATATGTTATATGTTGTATAGTATATCAATGTGTGTAACATCTAGTTGTGATGTTTTATTTCAGAGATGTCTAAACAGAGATCCGAAAGCAAGACCATCTATTGATGAATTACTGAACCACCCTTACCTTAAAGCCAATAAACAAGGTACTAGTAAGTTAACTTTACCTGTAAATTTATCTGTTAACTTAACTCTCTTTTGTTATTACCACTTGTATAATTGTAAATTAACCTCTATAAGCTGAAGTATATGTTAATGAATTATATTGGGGCTAGTGTTAATTTTGAATGGTTTCTTCATACTGATGTTTCAATGCCAGTAAGGAATATTAAAAACTCACTAATATTAGGAAACTATAGGTCAAAGTTAAAGAATTTGGGTGGTTTTACCTTGGTACCCACATATGCATGAAATGATGAAGAGAGGAAGCATATGTTATTCCTCTTCAAATGAAGTTGGAAAATTGCTTTTTGCTTCATAGCAGCGTATATGAAGAACTAGTGACCACAATATAAGATTTACATGACCTTTGTAGAAATTTTATTTTGTGTTTTAGGAAAGGAAGAGACAACCCCTCCACAAAGTGAGAAATTGATTGACAAGAAGATGGAAGCTTTTATAAGTTCCCTAGCCGACCAGTTTGCCCTCTCCCCAGGGGGTATCAGGAATCTCTTTCATAAAACTATAGTCTCAGATCAGGTACTTATATGTGATAATGTTAAACATGTATTAACAATGACATATTAATTTCTCTATAAACAAAGACCATGATTCTAGATTAAAACAGTATTTTTTTGTGTCGCCTCTACGGAGTAGTGGCGACATATAGGGATCACTTCTCCGTCGTCTGTCTGTCCGTCCGTTCGTCACAAAACTTGTCCGGACTACTCCTCATAAACTACTGGTGCAATTTCATCCAAACTTTACAGGAATGATCAGTACCAAGTCTAGTTGTGCATATTGTCAGCATTTTCCGGTTCAATGATTTTTGTCAGAGTTATGGCCCTTTAATAATTTTTATTTTTAAAGTTTGTCCAGACTACTTCTCTTATATCACTAATGCAATTTCAATGATTTCAATGCTCAAGTCCTTGCGCATATTGCACGGGTTTTCCGGTTGAATGATTTTTGGCCGAGTTATGGCCCTTTGTTAAAAAGGTGTTTTTTTCTGTGTGTTGCCAGATACACAAAAGCTTGTCCGGACTACTCCTCATAAACTACTAGTGCAATTTCATCCAAACTTTACAGGAATGATCAGTACCAAGTCTAGTTGTGCATATTGTCAGCATTTTCCGGTTCAATGATTTTTGTCAGAGTTATGGCCCTTTAATAATTTTTATTTTTAAAGTTTGTCCGGACTACTTCTCTTATACCACTAATGCAATTTCAATGAAACTTTACAGGATTGATCTGTAGCTCAAGTCCTTGCGCATATTGCACGGGTTTTCCGGTTGAATGATTTCTGGCTGAGTTATGGCCCTTTGATAAAAAGGTGTTTTTTTCTGTGTGTTGCCAGATACACAAAAGCTTGTCCAGACTACTCCTCAAAAACTACTGGTGCAATTTTATTCAAACTTTACAGGAATGATCAGTACCAAATCTAGTTGTGCACTGTCCATCTGTCACAAAACTTGTCCCAACATGAAATTGGCCATCATGAGGCGACACATGTGATTACTGATCGCTCTTGTTTAATTCAGAAATGAATTTCCAAAGAAATTACCCCAGTTGAGTTTCATATCCATATTTCAGTTTACTGTAAAGAGAGTTAAGTATTTGATCTAAATTATAATAACTAGGTAATGATGTTATTAGTAAATTTCCTTTTTACAGAAGTCACCCAATGCCATGCCATCACAAAAGAGTCACCAAGGCAATGTAAGTATTTACCAATCAGTTTTAATTAAGTCAATCTTTGGTAAACTTGCAGTCACAACAAGTTGCAGTTTGGTTTGTGTCCATTTAAACATCTGTCTGTGCATCTTGTTCTTGTAAGGAACAAAACTGTGTTGAGATGAAGGTCACACTTGAAGTTGCCAATGTCAAAAATATGTTTTAAGTATTGACCATTACTCTTTCATTGGAGGCAATTTTTTTAAAGATTTTTAGGGAAAATACTCAACATTTTGCAATGTCATACTGTGACTTATAAACCTGTATGTTTCTGAAATGTCAACAGACACAAGTACATAACCATGCCATGGATTGTTGCAAACATTTTTGTCCATTTTTGTTTGGCTATCTGATGTTTATTATGAAAAAGCAGCTAGAAAAGGGTTAAGTACTAAGTATGATAGTAAAGAATCCTCACAAACTAAATCAAATGATGTTTTGCAACTGTCAAACAAGTCTCTTAACTTCACACACACATAAAAATAAAAACTTCATTCTTGTTATTATGATTTTCATTCTGAATTTTTCAGGGAGGACAAATGCATCATTTTAATAAACCTGCCAAACCAGTACCAGAAGCTCAAGTAAAACATCTTCGGACACCACTATCTAGTTTAAATCTTATTGACACTCAGTCATCTGGACAGGATGCTGTAAGCAGACAAAGGAAAGCATCTGGTACATGACCAAGATATCCCACTCCAGGATAACAACAAAATATGCCTAGAAAGCGATAGATATTCCTGCATATCTGGATGATTTTATATATCGTAGGAAATCTGATTCTGTGGACAGAAAGAGAGAAATGCATTTAATTGATAATATATGATTAGAAATCAGATTTGTGTTGAGAGGTTTTTAAAAAAAAATCTTGTGATATTCTGCTTATGTCTTTGCGTGTTAAGGTAGATTTACATTTAGTTTGACTAATCAAACAATTGGGAGAGCTATTGTACTCATGTCAGCATCAGTGCCACATTTCAGTTGGGTTTTTGGGTGTAATTGGTATTCCTAAATCACTAAAAGAAATGAGTTGAAACTTCACACTCTTATTTGAGATCAAAATAGGAGGCCTCTGTCCAAGGTCCACAACATTCTGACAGAAATTTGGCCCTTTTTGAACATAGAAAATTCTCCATTATCCAGATTCTTGTTCAACTATCAAGCACCGAGGATAGTCAACATGCTGTCCGGCCGACAGCTCTAGTTTAAGCTTACAAAGTGGTTGATATAAACTTAAGAGTTTTTATTAATATTATGCAATATTGCAAGATAATTTAACCTTCTTCACATGCAAGGTTTAGATACAAATATATAATTCCTGTGTTCATTAACTTTATTGACATTGTAGCTAAGCTTGTTTTTATGATACATGGTTGCTTAGCACAACGATTATTTCCATATCAAACACAAATCTTGCTAATACAAATTAATGGCCCTAAAAATTACATGTTTTCTCTGGATTTGATATTAAATCTTCCTTCTAGATTGTATGAGTTTCTATTACTATAGTAGGTCAGATTTTCATGTTCCCATGTCAGATGCAATATCTATAATCAATTAAGGAAGAATTATATATGACATACTCTGTATGTGAACCTGGTATTCCATTTAACCAAATATATGATAGTTGACTATCTTAAAACTAATGAAAAGGTATAAGGAAGGCACTGTTTTAGTAAAAATTATGTAGATTTTCCGGTGACATTTTCATATACAGTATTTTGAAATATTACATCCCTACAAAATGTACTATTTGAAATGTTGCAAATCTTTTGAGTTGTTGCATTCTAATATTGCTTTAAAAACAAATAAATGCACAAAACACATGAATTAGAGATGATCTTGAACTACATTGTATGAGAATGTAATATTTGGGGGCTATGTTTACCTTTGAGTGACACTTTTATTTTGTTTTTGTTGTATTTTTGTGTAGACATTTATTTTTTTTTTTGTATTTTTGTGTAGACATTATTGGTGTGATGTTTCTATCTGTTACTCTATCTACCTGCTTACATCTTTGTATAGTTCATCTTCTCTATGTTGTCTTTCCTTCTTTATTCTTCTTCATCTTAAATCCATCAAGTTTTATTACCGTTCACATATTTACTTACATTAGCAATTAATGTATAATAAGCATACCTGCCATAACACATTTAAAGGCCCATTATGCCTCAGAAATGTTTTTATTTTTATTTCTCAAAAAAATTTTTTAATTGTTACTCACTGGACAATTACCTGAACCATCTTTTTCATCTGTTGCTTTTCGGCAATAAGTACAATTTTAGTGAATAAGTATTTTGTTAACATTTTTCTATTTTAATGACGATATATTTCACATTTATCACTACTTTTTTCAGGTAACGAACCTCCATTATATAAACATTATAAAATTCATGTTTGCCCTTTTAAAAGATATACAAATTTATTTTTTTCTGAGGCATAATGTGCCTTTTATTTTGGCAAGTTTAGACTTCATCTTTACTTAATATGTTAACATTATTTTAGATTTTTAATAAAAAAGGGCAAATAACTTGTTTTGTCTATGAATAAATGTTGACAAGATTATTATTAGGGTAACAGGGTTTGCAGAATCGTTGGAAAATGTCATTTTGTCAGGCAATATTTGAACAAAATTCATTAGCCTGAAGTATGATTTGTGTGACATAATATATTTTATGTATTTTAATAATAAATCATGTCTGACATTGATTGTCACTCTGGAAAATTACCTACCAGCTTGATAATTGTATAGTATGTGGGATTATCCATGCAGTAACTTTTCAAATAGCCAATATAAGATAAACTATTGCTTATGATGTACATGTATTTCAATTAATCTTAGATTTGACCTTGAGGATTTGCATTAACCCTTTCCCTCATATATACGCGAAACAACGCACTTTCGAAATAAATTTTGATGGAAAAAATCGAGGCAAAATAGTGATTTTTGGCAATTTTGAGATGTCCCCTCGTTGCCATGGGTAACAGGAAATTTAAGACTGAGCATGTCGTTACAAAGGCAATGGTCCAGTCAACATTTGTGCCAAGTTTGATTAGTATTGAAGCATTTTTCATAGTTTCATAGCAGTTTGAACTTGTAAGAGGAGGCTTTTCAGTGAAAATGGCCATTTTTCACAATATGCTCATGGGGGAAAGGGTTAAGTTTCTTTGTTGGATTACGAAAGTGTACACAAATGTACATAAATATAATACTGCAATGGGTAACATTAATTATGATAGGACCATACAATATAATTATATCTTTATCTAAAGAAATAGCTTTTGCAACTTTATAAATTAATTTTTGTTATGAAAGAAAGTAATTGTGCAGTATTATAAATTTGTTATATGAAGACAGGTTTGTTTGCTATAAGTGCCTATTCACTCTGTTTATATGAGCTTACAACTTTAGAATAATAATAATAATTTAAATAAATATATCTGTCATATGTGGCGGTTCGGACCGGAATATCCGTCCCGAGGGGACCTGCCCATGGGCGGGTTCCCGAGGGACGGATATTCCCATCCGAACCGCAAACATATGTCAGATATTTTTTCTTGCATATTCTGCCATATTATTTAATATTTAAAATGGTTTACCTCAATGCGATATATGTTCATAGAAATTAAAGTCATTTTATCCATAACTATTTTCTTACAAAAGCGTATAAACTTACAACTTAAATAACAACGGTGAAGTGACATCATCATAAGCACATATTTCCCTTCTAAAACGACGTCATTTTAATGCAGTTCATAAAGTGCGCTAAAATGACGTTGTTTGGCACGCGACTCGTCTGGCACCCCCCATGCCAGATGAAATTTCCGGCATGGGTAAAAATCACGGAAACGCCAGTCTGCTATGCAAGAAAATAGATTTAAAAGTATTGTTTTCTTTGCAATGAAACAAACTTATAAGTTTTAACTGTCTTTTTTTATGCCATCACATTATAAATTAACTACCTGGATTTTGTTTTCAAAATGAATGCAGGGTTGGTTATATATTAGCTATGTAAAGGACCCCTTAGCAGTTCATTGCGGTCCTTAGTAGTATTTAGTAGGACTTCCTTATAAGTTTAGAAAATTCAGTACTTTTTCAGAATGTTAGGCATTTTGTCTGTGTTAATTGACAGAGGAAAATCAGTATTGTTGTACTGAAATTCTTAATGTTTTTTTGTTTTTTTTTTGTAAATCTATGTAAAATTAAATAAAACATACAATAATATGTAATGCTTCTTTTTTTTTGTCTCTATTGATCTTGATATATACATGTATATTTTAACTTGAAAAATTCCTTTTGCCTGTCACATGAACACAAAACAAAGTCATGCCCTTAAACTTAAAGTGTTAATTTCGAAGCACAGTTCGTGATGAAAATTTACCTCTGTGCAAGTAGTCAGAAAGATTAAATTTTAGCCGAAAGTAGAGCATGGTACATCAGTCAATGAGCACCTATGAAACATAAGGAGGAAGGACTAATAATGGCTGTTGGTGCTCAACAAAGGACAGCCATTCTAGCTGGGACACACACACATACTCAAGTATCCTTCCTTGTGGTCTCTTACTACTTTAAAGGGCCACTCCATTCAGCTTCAGTCCTGACACTGGCAGGATACTGTGCATCATACAAGATCCATTTATCTATTGTGCTCAGTGTCCTATGCCTCCCAACTATGTGCATGCACAGAGGGGGAGAGTATAATAAGGATCTAATGTTCAGCGGCTGCCAGTTAAAGGTGGAATACCCAGCTTGAGGGTAACTGTTAACGGCGATCAAGAGGCTCTGCAGAGTTTCTGTCTTCAGTAACGACAGGTGTTGTTTGATTCCTTTTCTTGCATATTACATAAAATCATATCATTTTGGAAAGAAATTCCAAAAACTAATATTGTCATTTAAATACTAGATTACTATTTTAAAAAAAAATAGTTTAAGGTAGCACACCTCTAATGCACTATCTCCACTTTGATAGGTATTCAAATAGGCTAGAATCACTGTCCAGTGTATTGAAAGTGAGGGGCATGGGTTCAAAGCCCAGAAGGGGCAACTTTTTTTTCTTTTTAACATTTTTTATGAATCACTCAGATCCCTAATGGTAGAAAAAAGTGATTCATTTTAATTATATCATTATTGTGGGTATTTATTTGCTAAATAAATTTCCAAATTTAATAGCAAATATAATACCAGTTATTTTCAAAGTTTGATAAAACAAACACTACAGGGTTAAAATATTTTATATTTTGCAAGACCAACCAATATACATTTAAGATTTAGGCAAACTTTGAAAACAGCCACTCAGTGTGGAAAATTTTAAGGGTATTTTAAATAAAGCTTTTTACATAATAAGTGTTTAAAGTGGTGGGGTAGGATAACATTTTAATACATATTTAAAACATTTCGTTTAGAAACAATCGTTTTGTTACCTTAATGTCATTATTTGTTTCTTAACAATGAGCAATAGGAAAAACATTTTTCATAATGATGATATTATAGATTATTAAGAGCACGGATTTATAGTTTCCTCATTTCTGAAAAAAAGCCCTTCTAATGGCAAAGTTTTAGTTTAAAAAAATGTCCATAACTCATAAACCGCACAGTAAATTTTGTTTAAATTTTGCATACAGGTGACATTTAAGGCATATAAATGTCCTAGGTTGTCAATTCTACAGTTCCTTATAGTGCCCATTAGAGGTGTATTAGCTTAATTTATAACATTTAAAAAGTCAAAATTACATCATTCATAAAAGGTCTGTAGAAATAGTGTCGTGTAAAGCTGCTAACTTTTCTTACACAGGGTTTAGGCAGGACTTTCTAGCATTAATGTAAACTGTAAATAATCTTGTCTGATATACAAGAGAAAGTTTTATTCACTTGTCATCTGAATTTATATATTATTACATTGGTCCCTGGATGTCTTTCAATGAACGTGCCAGTTTTTAGCTCGACTTTTCTATGAAAAGGGGAGCTATCCTACTCGCCCCGGCGTCGGCGTTGGCGTCACACCTTGGTTAAGTTTTTCGTACCACCCCACTTTATTTCAGAAGTATTACAAGTATGGCTTTGAAACTTACCATACTTGTTCACCATCATAACCTCCATCTACAGACAAGAGTACATAACTCTGTCAAGGTTTTTGACAGAATTATGGCCCTTTTTTGACTTAGAAAGTGTATTGAGCTTGGTTAAGTTTTTTGTACCACCTCACTTTATTTCAAAACCATTGGAGGTATTGCTTTGAAACTGACCATACTTGTTTACCATCACGACCTTCATCAACAGACAAGAGGACATAACTCTGTCAAGGTTTTTGACAGAATTATGCCCCTTTTTGACTTAGAAAATACATTAAATATGGGTAAAATCCACTTATTGCCTTAACCCTTTGAGATATTGCTTTGAAACTTTTAATGCTATTTCACATCATTACCCCCATCTGTACGCAAGAGAAGGTAACTCTGTCAAGGATTTGTTTTAAAAATTAAGGCCTTTTATCGACTTAGAATCTTGGATAAGTTTTTAGTACCAGTCCACTTTTTGACTGAACTGTTTGAGATATTAATTTGAAAGTTGGAATACTTGTTTACAATCATGATTCCCAAACATGTCCAGGAGAAGGTAATTCTGTCAAAGATTTTATTTGAATTATGGCCCTTAACTGTCAATGTTTTGTATTATAGGCAAGCACTAAAAAACTTAAAAAATCTAAAAAAATTCATTCCTATCCACTTGTTCACTTTACCATAAATTATGTCATATAAACATTGCTGTAATATTCTTGTATTGCCTTTTACTGCAAAAACTTTTTTTATTGGCAAGCAATAAAAAAGTCGAGCGCGCTGTCTTACGGACAGCTCTTGTTCTATCTATTTTTAATATACATTCCAATTACAAAGTATTTCTTTAGTTGACATCGATGAAATAATACTGATATACCGTTTGTGTTAAATTAAGTCAGTTAAATACTTAAATTAAGATTATTGAGTACGAATTGACTATGGTGCGAACAAACCTTAAAGGCCCGAAAAGTTGCGATTGTGTGAAGTACTTGGTATCCCGATTAACATTTTTCCGCGAAAGATTTTTTTCTTCTAAGAATTGTTGATAACAATAAAAATTTAGCTTGGGATTTAAAAAAATATTAAAAGCTTTAAGATGTTTACTAAATAAGACCTTTATTGTGTGATTTTAATTTAGCGAATCACGTGTTGAGAGGTCATATCTAAAAATAGAATGCGGTGGTTGTTGACATGACGGTGAGTCAAATATCGCTATATTTACATTTGCGGAAATTTATTACTAATCATCTTTTTGGTAACGGGTAATTGCATAATTATAAAATGTTATAGTTCTAATTCCTGCATATTGATAAATTCCCTTGTCATTGATATATTGCAGGTTTTAAATACTTATTTCATTTACTTTCCTTTTCGACATTCAGGACTTTGCAAAAACATGTTTATGTACATTACAAATAATTCGTCCCAACCCAAGAGTCAAGACACTTCCTGTTTATGTCGTTAAAAATCATAGTAAATTTGATGTATCTGCCAAATTTCTTCAGCATTAATGTTTAACATTAATGTACAACCTAAATGCTCGCCATTATTATTGAGACTGAGCATTTCATTTTGTGACAAATTGGTATTCATTATTTAAAAATAATTAGGATAGATTAAGAGTCGTAGGACAGGGCAGACCATGGGACAGGGCGGACCGTACCAGGGCGGACCATATGTTTGGATGGGGCGGACCATATTTTGGGACAGTGTGGACCATGACTCGAGACGAGGCGGACAATGCAGTGTTTTTTTTTTTCACCAAAATATTTAGCAAAATTCGGCCCCATTCCCCCCTCAAAATAGTATGTTTCCCCCCCCCATCAAAGCCTAAATTTCCGCCTATATGGCAGCCCGAATTTGCCTGCAATAAATATCTTTTTTTTTTGCAACTAACTGCCGAAAAATGTTTTATTTAATGCCTGTAAGAGTTACTGTTAAGCAAGGTTGTTTACAAATCGTTCTCTGGTAGGTAAGGGGAGCTACTTCTGGCGTCCCAACAAGTTTAACAAGCAACACATCAATATTTTAGATCCGTATATTATGAAAAAAGAAAATTTGTGTTGCAAGAGTTGCTCCCCTTTTCCACTGCAAAGAAAACAATATAAAATAAGTAAACAAATAAAATTCCCCCTCCTATTACATTTTCCCCCTCCAAAGGGCACGGACCCCCTTCCCCCAAAAGTGAATAAAAACACTGCCATGTATATTTTCAAATTAAATATTGCTATTTAATTTTCTATATATATTTTGGTATCATTATCATCCTAAACATGTAATTATAAGCATTTTCATATTGAACAGATTTGTATTTTAAAATTTAAACATTGGTCTAATACTAGTTAGATCTACATATGTTTGTATTAATCATGTGCACATGACATAGGGCTGATTGTTGATTAATCTAACTTTAATTTTATGATTATAGATATTGACCCATACAATAATAAGTATAAAATAGGTAGTGTAAAGCTAATGGGAATGGTTCGAGAAAATCTTAAAAAATATTTTGCGCTAATGTTAATATAAACTTGAAACAATTACCTTAATTGTAATATTTTTATATATACCATTCATAACATTTTAGCTGTATAAAGGATTATAGATTATATATATTACTTAATTACAATATGAAAACAAAGAAATAATTAATATACCATGTATAGTAATTCACTATAAACAGACATGGATCTTAATTAAGGCAGAGCACGAAAACCAATTCTAATATAAACTAACTCGTCAAAGAATCAAAATTGATGAGAATTCAACACAAGTCAACCAGGAGCATGCAGTTGAATTTGTTGAAATTATGGCTATAATATTCCAACAAGACATAAAAATTTTGATAGCTGTGCAAGTCATTATGACCCTGTGTAATTACAGGTGTAAATATGAATATATGAATGACCGAATATATATTACAGTGTGAATACCGATATACATGCAGCTGTTTTCGTATATATGTTCGTCATAACATGTTCGTGTATCTGTAAATTAATAAGTCTTCCTTTCTCTGTGCTAACGATGTAAATTTTGTCTTTCTTTTGTGTTCATTAATGGTCTAAAAAAAATGTATTACAATTCATTTGAAATACTGCAATCCTATTGGACAAAAAAATAATTTCATAAATTTTATATATGTATATGTGTATAATGATATTAAAAGAAAACAAAGAAACATCAATATTTAAATATTTTATTAAAATAAATCACGGTCCGCCTCGTCTCGAGTCACGGTCCGATGTGTTCCAAAATATGGACCGCCCCGTCCAAACATACGGTCTGCCTGGTACAGTCTGCCCTGTCCGTAATTCAGATTAAACACTAGAAAATCACCAAACTACATAACCTGTCTTGGAAATTTTGCACAGTCACTTCAAATTGAAAGCAGCAAAAAAAGAAGGCCTTGCTTACCTTGAATGTTAATTATCTGCCCTTGCTTATCTTAAATGTTAATTATCTGTCCTTGCTTATCTTGAATTTTAATTATCTGCCCTTGCCTACCTTTAATGTTAATAATCTGCCTATAATTAAACCAAGGAAAAAACAGCAAATACAAGGGCTGATAACTTTTGTTTACTAGAATTATTTCTGTTATGTTATTCTAAGATCATGCAAAGTATAAAAAAATCCTATCTATAACACTGTAATAGAATTATAGCATGTGCTTTTAAATTGATGAACTATCATTTTAAGTAAACTACACATTCAGAATCTAAATGCTTTAAAAATGGCCCTTGAAATATTTAAAACTATGAGTGTATGGTTTACCCAACTTCAAACAGCCTTGGTTAACTGTTTAGTGACATGGTTGAGTATTTGTAGACTTACTGTATAGAGAGATCTGAGTTCAGTCCTCCGTCAGGTTAACTGTCATAAACCCACAATATGGGTGAAAAATTGTTTCCTTTAGAAAACATAATAAATTCGTAAATTATGCACAGTATATTTAATAAATCATCTTATTTTCAGGAATGAGAAGAATTCAGGCAAAATTATAATCTTAATGGATTCCATAGAGTTAGGACACCAAGGATTATACATTTTAGCGTTCATTTATGTTTGAACAGTTAGATAGACTGTTGATACGGAAATTAAATTCTGATGTATTCTCAAGTGAAGAATGAACACATGGTAGTTAGTGATAAATTTGGGCAAGTGAAAACATTGTAATTCATATAGATATACATAGTCTTGTTTGTAAGATGGGTTGATGATACATGATATGTTTTATGTATGTAACATATGATGGAAGACAGTCCTAAGTTTCTCTCTATAGATGAACAAGCCATATCGGACAGGTCAGTAAATCCGGAAGAAGCCTCATGTAATCTTAAGGTCTTACAAAAACACATATTTCAACCCAAATTTTTAGATTTTCCAAATAAAAAAGCGGAGATTTCAAAGTGTTCTGCTCCTAGCTCAAGTATCAATGTGAAGTCTTCACTTAAAGATTCTACAACTTCAACAACCTTAGTAAGACCTACTACAAATGAAAGTTCTATCACTGGTTCAAGTTCAAGATTTGACTCCAAATTTTCTGCATTTGAAAGAAAAGACCACACATGTTCCTTGAACGATCAGCTAATAAATTCAACATATTTTAGTAGCCCTTCTAAAAGCATATCAAGGCATGCAACTGCAATGGAGAGCGGTGGAAAAGAAATAATTTTACCTTCAGGAAAGGGAAACTTATTTGATAGACAACCATCTGTTAATGATGAAGACCTTTTTGGATATGGCAAGAATCTGCCAGATGAAAATCAAGAACAGTTAAACTATGGAAATTTAAGTAATGAATACACGAAGCAGAGCCCTGAACATATTGAATTAAACATGGAAGATAATGATGATAAGTCTGAAAAATATACAGTTGTGGATTCCGGTATACCAAATTTTGGATTGCTCGAATCCTCGTCTGGTTCTGAATCAGATTCCTCAAAATCTCGTCAGTCATCCAAAAGCACTGAGGGTAACAAAATGCAAAATGAGAATCAGAATATTACAAAAGAAAGGCATAGCAACATTGAATTTTCTGATGGCCGAGATAGTTCTTATCAAATGAGATTTCTGGACAAAAGAAGTATTTCTGCTGTTGACCGGAGAGAAAAGTACAGGATAAGTAGTGGTGGGGAGGTTTTTTACCCAGATATTGATTATGTTGAAAATGATAGCTACGTAAGAAACTATGTAAAGAAAAGTAACAGTTTACCTGATCTTATTGTGAGTTCTAACCCTTCCCCACTTTCTCCTCCACAATTTAACAGCAATCCAAATCCAAAACCTGCTGTAGAAGAAAATTTGGCAAAACAGTATGGAATAAAAATGATGATGGAAGGCACAAGTTCAATGCCACAATCACGAGATATACCAAAAGTAAGAAGGAGTGTAAGCATAAAAGAAGAACCAGAATATTTCCCAGCTGATAACCATGATGGAACTCAAGATGAAGAAAACCAGAATGGTTCTTCTAAACAAACAGATGAACGAAGACGAATTCTAAGCAGTGGATATCAAACTGCGAGCAGTGAGGCTGGAAGCCAGGATAAATCTGATATAACAGCTTCCAGGCAGACATCTCAAATATCACATAGTTCATCAGGGGTCTGGACATCGCAAGAAGGAGAAAACGAAAATGCAGAATCTGTACTTAACAAAGTTAGTGAAAGTGATAATTCTGATATGTCTTCAAAGGATCAGATGTATTTTGCCACAAATTTATCATTGCCTAACAGCATGGACGGTGCTGAAAGAAACACACCTTCCCCCTCGTCTTGTCAGTCTGGTGGAAATGAGTCAAATAGTACCGAGTCTAGTGTTAATACCGTACAGGATGCCCAGGAGGCATCCATAGATAAAACAAGCTCTATGTCATCAAATAATACAGCAATGCAGGCACAAAATAGTTCAAGAGAATTACCAATGCTTAGTGTATTTGGACCTGGTGACTCATCGAGAAAGTTTAATCGTTTGTTATCTAAAGATGAGAAAAATGGAGCTAGGAGTAAAATTCCGCCATCAGTCGAAACTAAACAACCGGAATCATATGATCCTCCAAGTCATGGCAATTTGCCAAATTTCTTACATGTATGTCCAGAAAGCTTTAGTATAAAAGGATCGTCGTTAGCAAAAGTAAATGAAGAGGAAGATAAGAATCATAGAGTTGTTATAAACAGATACTGCAATGATGCTAGTTTGGGGAATGGACAGCTGCCATCTAGCAGTATAACACCTTCCAGTAGAGGGTTAATTTCCAGCAATCAGGTATATTCTTTATTTGTAAACTTTCTTGAAAAAAAGCAAAAAAAACTGACCTATACCCAGATGTTCTTATACATTTACTTGAAAGTTTTAATTAAATAAAGATTGTAATGTGTACTTGTATAAATGATCAACATGTCACTAATACATTTCTGAAATTTAATGATGTGATATCTGCTTTATGAAATTGCTCAGTCTGTTTAATGTGCTGCATGTTACAATCCATTTTAAAGTCATAATTTTATTATGCCCCCATTTGGGTGCATACCTATAGGCTATAATGATGGGATGTGTTTCTACATCTGTCTGTACCTAACCACATCACTTCTTCTTTGTCTGATATATTAACGAGATGGAATAAGCCTTGATTTATGTAACTTGGTAGAAACATTGTGATTGCCCATGGCCAGTAGATGACCCTGATCAATTTTTAGGTCTGTAGGTCAAAGGTGAAGGTCACTGCAGCCTTGATCACTAAAGATTGTTCGAACATTGACAAAGGAATCCTTTAGTCCCTAGTTCAGGGGAATTATTTAAAAAATAATATTGAAACAATGTTCCAATCTGTTAGTTTAACCTCAAATTCTATTAATTTATTGAGCTCCTCTCATATAGTTAATATTAATTAATATAACTTTTGACTTTTATGAAACTTGCATAATATATGTAAATATGCCCCTGTAACAGCAAATCAAGTTATTGGGCATAGGTGTCCTATTGGCAGATTTATAGTTTTCAATTTTAAATAACTTATTATTATTAGCTTTATTGTTTGCAGCCTAGTCCACCAGAAGCAGTGAGGAGATGGGATGAAATGTTGATGAAGCTTGGGCCTGATACTTTCAGTCCAAGTATTTTAGACAAAATACATCAGGAAGTTTTTGGTTCCAGTCTCAGTCCGTATAATAACAATGGTTTGTATTGATTTATTTTCTGTAAATTATGTTTTCATTTGCTGGTTTGTTTATATTTGGTTTTATGCTGATTTTAACACCCATCTTTGGTCATATATCGGCGATCTGTTGACTAAACCAGCTTTTCTGGATAACTTACCAATAATTACCAATATCTCTCCAACTAATAATCCCCCATGAATCAGTGGTGGGAGGCAAATGACCATTGAACCAAGATAAATTTTCATGGAGAAATTTTACCATGTCCTGGGATCGAACTAGCAACCTTTTTGATTACAAATCTGACACTTTCCTGTGGCTGGGCTAAAATCATGTTTTAACTTGGTCATCTGTCATATATTATGGGTTGGTGAAATTAACTTGTTAGCATTGACTGTTTATTATGACATTGGACATTTTCAATAATATTAAAAGTATTTATTGCTCTGTATTTTAAGTTAATGATGCTCAAGGTCCATAACTCTTACCTCATTATTGTGTAAGTTATTTCCCTTGATATCCATTGAAATTTACATTTGCTGTCTGTTTTTTGTCTAAAGTATGGTTATGAAAAAAAAAAATATTACATTGTTATTTATGCAACCTGACTGGACTTAATTTTAGCATGATGAAACTTCTAAAACTTAACTAATTGACTGTCTTTAATTGAAGTAAGTCAGTTCCATTATGCATAATCAGTGGTCTTTTTTGTGCATATTAAAAGAGTGAAATACAATTTGTTGGCTCGACTGATTGCTCATTCAGAAGAGTATTTGTTAAAGAAAACATTATCTGACATGTGTGAAAGTCTTAAATCTACAGTAAAACAGATATCAGCAGTTTTATTCTAATGGTGGCTTTAAATTTGTTAAATATTGAGTTGAGATATTGTTTTTTTGTAAAAGAAACTTGAATGCAAATAAGTGATATACTACAAGTCTTTGTTTTCTATTTTGTCACTGGATTTATTTTATAAATTTTCAGTTTCTGTTAAATAATATTTCTTATAAAACATTTTATTTTCTCATTAAAGAGAGAGAAAAGATAGAGGGTGCTGGAAGTCAGAACTTTAAGGTAAATCTTGTTTCATTGTTTGTAAAAAATGGTAGAACCCTTTATGAACACTTTCCAAGGTGAGGTGTCAGGCTAAAGTAATACATACATGTCTTTCTCACAACACTGGGGTCAGAGGGTAAAACTTTGAAAAAGCTTCTCCAATGATTCTGGCAAGTACAGGAGGAAATTTTGATAATTGTAAGAATAAAATCAAAAACGTTTGTTTCTGATCAAGCTGAAACGAGTAAGTTTATGAAGGCAAATATTTGGCTTGTATTTTTCTTGGAAGTTTAAAACAATTTAGAAAGCTTTTGTGGTTAATGATTATTATAAAACTGCACTTTAAAAATGTTTTTTCGAGAGACAGAAGATACTATAATGTTAATGGGTAAACACTTCAACTGTTTTGATTTACAACCAACAGTGATATTAAAGTCTTGACACAAGTATGTTAGTAAGAAAAATCCAGCAAACTAACTTAGAGAATGTTAATTGTTCTACTTGTTATTGTATTTTGTGCATGATTTATAAGGTTGCCTCTTGTGACTATAAATAGATATTTGACCTGTAGCATCACTTTGTAGTCCTCTACCAAAGTAATGTTTATCATGCCCCTAGGGGAAAAAATGCCCCTCTCTGGGGTCACTAAGTTTATGTAGACTTGTATGCAAATAAACATTTGAATATTGTGGAATACATACAGTCTGTAGTGCATAGATATCTGTCATGAAGACTTAAGTAGTGAACCTCTACAAATAAATAGTCATGCAGCTGGGATCAAAAATAATACACCTAATGTGATCTAATTATTTAAGTACTGTGACCTTTTCTAGCAATATGTTTCAGATTAGTGACCTAGGGCCATGACATCACTCTGTTGCACATTAGCAATACTTAAAGAATCATTTAACAAGGTCAATGTGACTGAAAGCTCAACTTAAACATAAGAAACATGTTCTTTTGAGATATAAGTACATGTATTCATCAATCATTTTGAAATTTTGACTTCGTATTATTATTATTCTTTTTGTTCTGATTACTGACAGTGTTGTTTTATACATTCATAGGACTTTTCATTAGATGAACTTGAGAAGGCATCTAGATGCAATTTTCAAGCATGTAAGGAACTTTGTTGCCTAAAGGTATGCTTTTAATTATGTTTTAGCTCAACTTTTTTTCCAAGAAATAAATTGAGGTATCATTACAGTCATGTCGGCATTGCTAATGCCGTCCCCCAAAACTTAAACTTTGATCATAACTTTATAAGTTCTTAGTATATGGTCTTCATACTTGGCCACAACAAACCTTGGGATAAGACCTTTAAGTATACCAGACCAAATTTGACCTCCATTCAAAAATGACCTTGACCTTTAAGGCCAAATGCCTAAATTTTGCTTGATTTTTGCTATTAGTGGTTATAACTTTGTTATTTTTGAATGGATTGTCTTCAGACTTCAACACAACAATCGTCATGCTTATCATTAGTAGAAAGTAGCCCTGAATGTGAAATAATTTGTGATAAAATATACAAAAATGTAAACAAAGTGTTATTTTGACTTCTATACAAAAATGATAAATTACTAGCTCACTATAACTGAACTAATTGCCAAAGAACATAGAAAAGGATAATGTTTCAGCTTTATGACTTATGAGTTGTTTTTAGCTCACCTGACCACGAAGTGGTCATGGTGAGGTATAGTGATGGGGCTATGTCCGGCGTCCGTCGTCGTGCGTTGTGCGTCGTGCGTTGTGCGTCGTTCGTCGTCAACAATTGGGTTGTTAACAGTCTAGCAGTCACAGTTTTGATTGGATCATCATCAAACTTTGTCAGAATGTTTGTCTCAATGAAATACAGATCGAGTTCGAAGATGGGTTATCTCGGGTCAAAAACAAGGTCACAGGAGCTAAAAATAGAAAAAGCTTGTTAACACTCTAGAGGCTGCAGTTTTCATACAAATATTCTGGAAATTTGTCAGGAAGGTTGTTTTAATGATATCTAGGTCAAGTTCGAAGATGGGTCATCTCCGGTCAAAAACTAGTCACGAGCTAAAAATAGAAAAAGCTTGTTAACACTCTAACAATTGGGTTGTTAACAGTCTAGCAGTCACAGTTTTGATTGGATCATCATCAAACTTTGTCAGAATGTTTGTCTCAATGAAATACAGATCGAGTTCGAAGATGGGTTATCTCGGGTCAAAAACTAGGTCACAGGAGCTAAAAATAGAAAAAGCTTGTTAACACTCTAGAGGCTGCAGTTTTCATCCAAATATTCTGGAAATTTGTCAGGAAGGTTGTTTTGATGATATCTAGGTCAAGTTCGAAGATGGGTCATCTCTGGTCAAAAACTAGGTCACGAGCTAAAAATAGAAAAAGCTTGTTAACACTCTAATAATTGGGTTGTTAACAGTCTAGCAGTCACAGTTTTGATTGGATCATCATCAAACTTTGTCAGAATGTTTGTCTCAATGAAATACAGATCGAGTTCGAAGATGGGTTATCTCGGGTCATCAAAAAACAAGGTCACAGGAGCTAAAAATAGAAAAAGCTTGTTAACACTCTAGAGGCTGCAGTTTTCATACAAATATTCTGGAAATTTGTCAGGAAGGTTGTTTTAATGATATCTAGGTCAAGTTCGAAGATGGTCATCTCCGGTCAAAAACTAGGTCACAGGAGCTAAAAATAGAAAAAGCTTGTTAACACTCTAGTGGCTGCAGTTTTCATCCAAATATTTTGGAAATTTGTCAGGAAGGTTGTTTTGATGATATCTAGGTCAAGTTCGAAGATGGGTCATCTCCGGTTAAAAACTAGGTCACAGGAGCTAAAAATAGAAAAAGCTTGTTAACACTCTAGTGGCCGCAGTTTTTCATCCAAATATTCTGGAAATTTGTCAGGAAAGTTGTTTTGATGGTTTCTAGGTCAAGTTCAAAGATGGGTCATCTCTGGTCAAAAACTAGGTCACAGGAGCTAAAAATAGAAAAAGCTTGTTAACACTCTATAGGCTGCAGTTTTCATCCAAATATTCTGGAAATTTGTCAGGAAGGTTGTTTAGATGATATCTAGGTCAAGTTTGAAGATGGATCATGTCTGGTCAAAAACTAGGTCACAGGAGCTAAAAATAGAAAAAGCTTGTTAACACTCTAGTGGCTGCAATTTTCATCAAATATTTTGGAAATTTGTCAGGAAGGTTGTTTTGATTTTATCTAGGTCAAGTTCGAAGATGGGTCATGTCTGGTCAAAAACTAGGTCACAGGAGCTAAAAATAGAAAAAGCTTGTTAACACTTTATAGGCTGCAGTTTTCATCCAAATATTCTGGAAATTTGTCAGGAAGGTTGTTTAGATGATATCTAAGTCAAGTTTAAAGATGGATCATGTCTGGTAAAAAAACTAGGTCACAGGAGCTTAAAATAGAAAAAGCTTGTTAACACTCTAGTGGCTGCAGTTTTCATCCAAAATATTCTGGAAATTTGTCAGGAAGGTTGCTTAGATAATATCTAGGTCAAGTTCGAAGATGGGTCATCTCCGGTCAAAAACTAGGTCAGCAGGAGCTAAAAATAGAAAAAGTTTGTTAACACTCTAGTGGCTGCAGTTTTCATCCAAATATTCTTGAAATTTGTCAGGAAGGTTGTTTTGATGATATCTAGGTCAAGTTGGAAGATGGGTAATGTCCGGTCAAAAAACTAGGTCACAGGAGCTAAAAATAGAAAAAAGCTTGTTAACACTCTAGTGGCTGCAGTTCTCATCCAAATATTCTGGAAATTTGTCAGGAAGGTTGTTTTGATGATATCTAGGTTCAAGTTGGAAGATGGGTCATGTCCGGTCAAAAACTAGGTCACAGGTGCTAAAAAATAGAAAAAAGCTTGTTAACACTCTAGTGGCTGCAGTTTTCATCCAAATATTTTGGAAATTTGTCAGGAAGGTTGTTTTGATGATTTTCAGGTCAAGTTCGAAGATGGGTTATCACCGGTCAAAAAACTAGGTCACAGGAGCTAAAAATAGAAAAAGCTTGTTAACACACTAGTGGCCTTGCAGTTTTGATTAAAATATTCTGGAAATTTGTCAGGAAGGTTGTTTTTATGATTTCTAGGTCAAGTTCGAAGATGGGTCATATCTGGTCAAAAACTAGGTCACAGGAGCTAAAAATAGAAAAAGCTTGTTAACACTCTAATGGTTGCAGTTTTCATCCAAACATTCTGGAAATTTGTCAGAAAAGTTTTGTTTTTGATGATTTCTAGGTCAAGTTCGAAGATGGGTCATCTCAGGTCAAAAACTAGGTCACAGGAGCTAAAAATAGAAAAAGCTTGTTAACACTCTAATGGCTGCAGTTTTCATCTAAATGTTCTGGAAATTTGTCAAGAAGGTTGTTTTGATGATATCTAAGTCAAGTTCGAAGATGGGTCATCTCCGGTCAAAAACTAGGTCACAGGAGCTAAAAATAGAAAAGCTTGTTAACACATTAGGGGCTGCAGTTTTCATCCAAATATTCTTGAAATTTGTCAGGAAGGTTGTTTTGATGATGTCTAGGTCAAGTTCGAAGATGGGTTATCTCCGGTCAAAAACTAGGTCACAGGAGCTAAACATAGAAAAAGCTTGTTAACACTCTAGTGGCTGCAGTATTGATTCAAATATTCTGGAAATTTGTCAGGAATGTTGTTTTGATGATTTCTAGGTCAAGTTCGAAGATGGGCTATCTCAGGTCAAAAACTAGGTCACAGGAGTTAAAAATAGAAAAAGCTTGTTTACACTCTAGTGGCTTCAGTTTTTATTCAAATATTCAGGAAATTTGTCAAGAATGTTGTTTTGATGTTTTCTGGGTCAAGTGCTTAGATTGGTCATGTCTGGTCAAAAAACTAGGTCACAGGAGCTAAAAATAGAAAAAATCTTTTTAACACTCTAGTGGCTGCAGTTTTGATCCAAATTTCCTGGAAATTGGTCAGGAAGGTTGTTTTGATGATTTCTAGGTCAAGTTTGAATATGGGTCGTGTCCAGTCAAAAATTAGGTCACATTGCCCAAATATGGAAAAATCTTTATAACACACTAGAGGTCACATGTTTGACTCAGTCGCATCAAACTTGGTCATGATGCTTGTTTAAGACATTGCTTGAATGCGGTTGTGTCAGGTGAGCGATCCAGGGCCATCATGGCCCTCTTGTTTAGATACCCTGACAGGTATAACTTTTGAGACATAAAATAATAGCATTTCTGAGGCCTAGTGGGCCTTTAATTATGGAAATCTTGTCAATATAAACCATATCCTCTGGTGAGAGATTATGGGTCATCATGACCCTTTTGTTTTGTACCGGTAAGTTAGATCCAACTTTTTTTTGGTGTATCTCAACATGTATTGCTCTTGTGAGGTTTTTGTATTAAATGACCTTCAATGACCTGTTTTTTGTCCTCCCATTTGTTTGTCTGATCTATATTTGCTTTATTTATGATTTTGTCTGACTGTGTTTTTGTTGAATTCTAACTAAAGATAGCAATGTAACAAGCCTAATATAAAGATGATCAATTTTAGTGAGAAAGTTTGTTATACAGTGTATGCAATATGGTACATACATGTATTTACTGTTATTACTGATCTCATTTGTTCTGTGGATCAGTTTTTATGCTCTATGGTCTATTTTTAGATGCGTGAGATTTTGAGAATGTTGAGGTTAGATATTCCTCAGCTCGATCCATCATTCGCGCTCGTGAAGAAATACTTCTCAGCCCTGAATCAACATTGTTATAATGTCTGTGATGAAACAAAATGCTCAGTCTTGTTCTGTGCAGAATTTGAAGAATGGTAAGAACATTTATTATATACCTGTACATATTTTGCTTCACATCCTGCTTGTATCACATGCACCAATACAACTTGACTGTAAGAAAATCTGAACTGTATACATATACACTACTGATCCAGAATAACTTTATTGACTTAATGTTATGTTAGGTAAAATACAAAGATTGGGGGTATGGCATGACATCCGACTAGTATACTAGGTTTACTAGCTGTGTAGGTTTAAATCCCATCAGGACCAAGCTGTTGTGTACTTAAGCATGTAACTGTTCACTCATTGCCCAGCACTGGTTGGTTCCAGGAACAGATTAAAGAGTGTGTCTGTAAGCTTATAGTTTCATACACAATTGTAAAAGTAAATTCTTTGTAGATTTATTACAAAGAGGTATACAATTCAAAGGGGATAGTCAATGTGTGAATATTTCTATTCATAACTAGCATTTGACTGTGATCGATTTTACTAAAACGGATCACAAGAATCCGGGTCAGCTCGGCCCTAAAACGTACTCGGCCCCCGAGTCAGCTCGGCCCTATTCCAACTCGGCACGGGTCAACTCGGCCCACTTTTCAATTATTAATAATTAGGTTTGTGTTATCACTTTTTTTATACTAATTATTGTAATCATTTATAATCGATTTGTGCATCTCCAAAAAAACTGACGTCTTGTTGGTCCGCTATATAAAAAAGACATGTTAACAGAGCTATAAATGATATTTACATGCTGCATCTTTGTTCTAGTTTAAACAATATTTCATTTATAATCAACTTTCCGTATCTTTGTTCAATAACGCATTTAGGTTGTTTAAAAAAAAAACATTAGTTCATACATTATTTGTTTTTGTTTCATATTTTTTTAAATATTACTTTACAAACAAAATGCATCTAAGGAAACACATTATTTATTAGATCTATATTAATTTTATCGAATCTGCAAGACAAATAAATAACATTTTTTTCTAAATTTACTTTATTTCGGCAAAAGTACAATGTATAATAATATAATAATAAAATATGTCTTATTATTCATTTACCTTAACAACATGCCCAGCAAAGTTAATTAAAATATATATATTTTTGTAAAGTGGGCCGAGTTGACCCGTGCCGAGTTGACCCGTGCCGAGTTGGTATAGGGCCGAGTTGACTCTTTTCCGATCACAATTGGCATAGAAGTGCACTGCATAGCTTTGTGAGATTATGGTCGAGTTAAATCTGCTGAAGTAGAAAACAAGTTCTTGATCTGGACACTTTAATAACCATATTGTAATAACTACAATTACATGATTTAAATATTTTGTTTGCAGTTTTTGTTCAGTCATCTTAAGAGTTAATAGATCTTACATGTGCTCCTGCATTCTGGGCCAGTACAGTGTTATTATAAGTACACACTTAATGATTTGATTACTTCTTTGAATAAATATTTTCAACTAGAAATGTAGCACCATCATGGCCCTTATGTTGCAGAATGCTAAAATTATGCATAATGATATTACAAAATATATTTGAAAGCATGGTAATACTTTACAAGATATGAAAGTACTAAACTATATATATAATCCTTTGTTTTCTCTTTAAGGAATGCAGAGAATCAAGAGGATCCAGAGAAACATTTTGTAGAAGAAACACAGAGGATATTTAGACATCCAACAATGAAGCTATTTCCACAGACAAGTAATAAATTCCACAAGGTAAACAAGATAAATTTCTACATTTTATATAAAAACCTAATCTTATTTACCCCTAGCCTTCTGGGATTGATTTTTGTGCCCCCACTTTAGTGGCGGGCATTTAGATTTACCCTTTTCCGTCCGTCCGTCCATTCTCTTTTGTGTCGCACGTAACTCAAAAAGTATTTGACCTAGAGTCATGAAACATTACAGGAATGTTGATCAGCATGTGTTGTTGTGCACCTGGGTATTTTCGTGTGGATTTATTTAGTATTTTTAGAGTTATTGCCCTTGACTTATAAATTTTTTTGCAAGTTTCAACTTGTGTGTTGCATGATATTCAAAATGATTTGACCTAGAGTCATTAAACCTTATGGGAAGGTTGCTCAGCATATTTAGTTTTGCACCTGGGGTTTCGCTTGTGGATTTATCCAGTATTTGTAGAGTTATTTCCTTTGACTTAGTTAAAACTGTTTCATTATGTTGTTATTTGTTTCTTGAGTGCTTGAGTTAGAATCAACGAACTTTACAGGAATAATGATCAACATCACTAAATTACAGGAATAATGATTCACATCACTGTGAAGCTATGCACCTGGGACTTTGCATGTGGATTATTTTCAGTTTTGTTAGGGTTATTGCCCTTGACTTACAGTAGTATAAATTTGCATTTTTCAACTTGTTCATGCATAGCTCAAAAAGTATTTCACTTGTAGGCCTGAAAGTTTACAAGAATGTTGGTCAGTATGTGTACTTATGCACCTTGGGGTTTGCTTGTGGATTTATTCAGTATTTGTAAAGTTATTGCCCTTTACTTAGAAAAAAGATTTTTAGTTTTGAAAAAATATTTGACCTAGAGTCATAAGATTAACAGAATGTAATGGCCGGGGCATATAGTGTTACCCTGTTCCGTCATTCCGTCCTTCCGTCATTCTGTCATTCTGTCATCATCAGTTTCCGTTCATTATCTTAAGAACGGTTGCACACATTCAACTCAAATTTGACATATGGATATGTCATGAGAAAATACAGGTCAAGTTCGAATTTGGTCATGGTTCGATGATTTTTGGCAGAGTAATGCCCCTTTTACTTTGAAAATAATATGAAATTTCAGTTTCCGTTCATTATCTCCCTAACGGTACAACACATTCAACTCAAACTTGACATATGGATATGTCATGAGAAAATACAGGTCAAGTTCGAATTTGGTCATGGTTCAATGATTTTTGGCAGAGTTATGCCCCTTTTACTTTGAAAACAATGAAATTTTCAGTTTCTGTTCATTATCTCCCCAACGGTACAACACATTCAACTCAAACTTGACATATTGATATGTTATATGAAAATACAGGTCAAGTTTGAATTTGGTCATGGTTCGATGATTTTTGGCAGAGTTATGCCCCTTTTACTTTGAAAACAATATGAAATTTTCAGTTTCTGTTCATTATCTCCCCAAAGGTACAACACATTCAACTCAAACTTGACATATGGATGCGTCAAAGGAATGCGCAGGTCAAGTTCAAATTTGGTCATGGTTTAATGATTTTTGGCAGAGTTATGCCCCATTCACTTTGAAAGTAATATGAAATTTTCAGTTTCCATTTATTATCTCCCCAATGGTACAACACATTTAACTCAAATTTGACATATGGATATGTTTTTGGAATGCCCAGGCCAAGTTCGAATTTGATCATTGTTCAATGATTTTTGGCAGAGTAATGCCCCTTTCACTTTGAAAATAATATGAAATTTACAGTTTCTGTTCATTATCTACCCAACAGTGTTACATATTCAACTTAAATTTGACATATGGATATGTCAAAGGAATGGGCAGGTCAAGTTGGAATTTGGTCATGGTTTGATGATTTTTTGGCAGAGTTATGTCCCTTTCACTTTGAAAATAATATAGATACATCTTAGGAATAAGCAGTTTAAGTTTGAATTTGGTCGTGGTTCAATGATTTTAGACAAACTTATCTTTCCTGAATGTTGGAAAAATTTTGAACTTTCAGTTTCAGCACTCATACTTTTAGCCATAATTTTGGCTACAAATATACAATATGCTATTTTTAAGGTTAAGACTGAATAATTTCAGTAACTTGAACATTGCATGAAAATGGTTTGTGTTAACATTGAAAAGTTTTAAGGGCTTTGAACTTAAAATGAAAAAAATAATTAATGCACCATCTGAAATTTTGGCTGCATGCGGGGGCATCCGTGGCATGATGACACATTTCTAGTTTGTTTTGTTTTTTACTTGGGTTTTACGTCACACCGACACAGTATAGGTCATTTGGCGACATTCCAGCTTTACTGGTGGAGGAAGACCTCAGGTGCCCCTCCGTGCATTTTTTTTTCAGGCATGAACAGGCTCCTGAGTAGAACCACCAATGTTTCATAAGCTAGCTGGATAGCTTCCTCACATAAAAGAATCCAAAAGTCCCTGTTGGGATTCGAACCCACAGTGGTGAGGGGCAAGTGGTTTGAAGTCAACGACCTTAACCACTCGGCCAAGGACGCCCCATGACATAATATAAAATTATTTTTACATTAACCTGTACATTAGCTATTTGGTTGGGCATAATGTCACTTGAAATGAAATGATTTTATATATTGTATGTTTCAGCTACAGAGTCATATACAGAAGGATGAAATGAAGGAGTTTGAAACACACGTTCCCATGTTTCCGCTAGGAAAATTCCATAATCACAATGTTTGCATGGACAATAAATTACAGAAACTCGTCGTTTTGACTTTCGTGAGTATTGTGATAAAATTATTTATAGAATTTTCAAAATCTACACAGGTGCCTACCTGATAATGTAATGCTGTAGTAAATTGTTTCTAAAATAAAATATCGTAAATATAATGCTCAAATGAAGATTTATCAATATTGTAAGTTCCAAAAAACATTATTTGTAATGATATAACCGAATTTACATTTCGTGTTGAAAAAGGGAGGTAATTAAAAATGTATTTTCTATAAAGTCTAAGTCAAATTTTTTCAATAAGAAATGAATGCATATATTTTAATAATTGCATATAATGAGGACAGATATTTGCTGTACATATGTTACATATTCTTCAATGTTTGAAAATTGTTTAAGAAGCATAATTATATACATATTAATATAAAATTTCACAGAGTGGTAAAAAAATAACGGGGCCTCCGTGGCCGAGTGGTTAAGGTCGCTGACTTGAGATCACCGGACCCTCACCGCTGTAGGTTCGATCCTCACTTGGGTCGAAATCTTTCATGTGAGGAAGCCATCCAGCTGGCTTACGGAAGGTCGGTGGTTCTACCCAGGTGCCCGCTCGTGCCTGAAATAATGCCCGGAGGGGCACCTGGGGTCTTCCTCCACCAATAAAAGCTGGAAAAAATCGACGAAAAAATCTTGGCGGGACGCTCTAGGATGGCCCGACTTGAGTGTACGGTCGCCCATATGGGCTTTCCGGCGGCGACCTTAAATAAACGCATTTAAAAAAATAAAAAGTGGTAAGAATCTTATTTACAAATTACAACATACAGGATCTAGAGTAGAGGGAGCTTTGTGATTTATTAGGTGTCTCCCTCTCTACCCAGGGATCATGGGTTCAAACCATATTGAAGTCTTAGGGGTTTATATTATGGATTATTATGAAGTTTTATGGGTTTTTATGGCATCAGCACTGATTAACTTCCAGGTTCAAACACTTGGGAAGCTCAAATCAAACTGCATCGAATAGGTTTAAACTTTTGAGGTAACTCATACTGACCATTTGGAAACACTGACAGGAGTTAACTCCCATTTACTGCAGTTATATTAGTAAGGTTAAGATGTATGTACATGTACATGTATTTGCAGTATCCATTGATGGACAACGATCACCAGCTATCACTGTACGCTAGACTGAAAGATCTGAATGACCCACATATTGTACCACAACTCTGGTTGCTTGAATATGATGATAAAATTCAAGTGTGCTCCCTATTTTGTCAAGGTATGGTTTGAAGGATCTCATGGAGAAATGTACTATTTTCTGTACTCTTCTCAAATAAAGTTGAGTTTAAACATTGCAACAGATGTAGAATTTTTTCATATGTGGAAGAAATACATGAGAGGAGGTTGGTGGTTCAAACCAGGAGCTTGTTTGTCTCTGATATAATGTACATCACAGACTTTGTTGAACTAACTACCCTCAAAGTGTTTATTAGATTGAAAATCCAAACAAAAACAAGCATGAGGCTTGCTTATTTGTGGGTATTTATTTTTTGTTTCCAAAGGTTCTGACAGGGGGACTTTGTTGGAATATTGTGTGGAAGGTTGGTGTATTCCTTTACCAATATTTTTCGTTTGTCAAATTCTAGTGCTAAAGATAAATATCTTTTATTGTATACAGCTTACTTCATCGGTTTATTATGTTAAATGTAAATATGTATATGTAAATAAATTGTTTTATACAGATTTCCGTGTACAACCTGTTATAAAAACTCAATTTCTAAGCAGTTAAAAGTTAAATATTGGTGGGATTTCAAACCCAACCAAATAAAAAATAAATAGATAAAAATTCTATGTAAAAACTATTATTTTTTACAGGAGGAAGCCTTGAAGATTATTTAAGTTATGTTAAGGTATTATCTTGGCCAAGGGTTATTTACTACATGAAGCAGATTTTGTCGGCAATCATTTATCTGAATTCCAGTTTTGGAGTGGTATATCTCAATTGGAAGAGTAAGTGTTCTTTTATAATACCTTAATAACACAACAATATGAGCCGTGTCATGACAAAACCAACATAGTGCATTTGCGACCAGCATCCGCGCAGTCTGATCAGGATCCATGCTGTTCACTTACAAACCCTATAACAAGTAGAGAAACTGATAGCTGGTTGCAAACGCACTATGCTGGTTTTGTTGTGACGTGGCTCGTATATTTATTTTGCTGCCAGAACTGTAATTATAGTGTCTTAATGAACATTCCTAACAATTCACTTTAGAATGTGAAATCTTATTTTTCACTAAATGTATATAGAACATATAAAACTTACACTTTTATGGATGAAAATGAAGGAAGTTGAGATAAAATGATTGATGATCTTAAGTAAAAAAAATTGATTAAGAACAGATATTAGTATAGTATTCATATCTGAAAGATCCAGAGACATGTATATCAATGTTGTAGACAGATACACGGTTTCTATGAATGGGACAGGTTGTAACTTTCGTTAATATTTGAGTGGTAGTTCAAACAAGTTTTCTGTTTTGATTTTCTTTAAACAATTTGAATGAACTTAATTAAATGCATCGCTCACAAGGAAGTATTTAAGAGTTATCCTGACATTACAGTTGAGTAAATGTTATTGACAAGAGTTATAGTAGTTGAATGTTGAAGGGAAACAAATATATACATCATTTACTTGTAGCATATTTGACTAAAAAGAAAATGTGAAAGGTAATGGTCTTGATCCAGAAAACTTACTCTCCATACCTTCCTATTCCAGAAGTTTTAATGGCCCAACCTCAGTCTGAAATATATACCAACGTTTTTTTTGTCTGTCTTATTTTATAACATTTCTGTTACAGTATTTGAAATAAATATATACAATTTTGTCCAATGTAGGTGGAAACATGTTATTTCCTGATGACAGACATAATATCATTCAAGTGAGCAACTTTAGTTTATCCTGTCCTGTAAACTGCCAGTGTGATATAGGATCTGTGAAAGCATGCTTGCCATACTATATCTGCCCACCAGAGGTAAGTCAAGTGTTTGTATATTTTATAAGACCAGTAAGACAGCATATTCTGCTCAATGTGCCTTAAAGGGATACTCTGGCAAATTAATGTCAAAAATATTAAAATGATTTTATGAACTCAAATCATGCTAAAATGACATTTTTAAAATCCCAGCATCAATTTCTGTATTAAATTCTATATATTTTGGGTTTGAAGCGTAAATATACCTATATATGTTTAACAAAATTTAGAAGCTGACAGAAGCACCGAGTAGTTTTAAAACAAGTTATGTGACTTGAACAAACCCTGGAAGTTACAATAACAGATATTGTGGATATTGTATGATTGAAACAGGTCTAAGTCATTCATTTAACATGTTCTTTAACATTTCCAAAGTTCACAGTGACAACTATTGTGAAATCTTAACACTCTAACCTGACCCAGGTGGATCTGGTTAGAAAACCATCATTAAATACTTTATAATGAAAAAATCCTTTGACTGCCTAGTGTAATCATTTTGAGGACATTTACAGAATAGTGAATGAAAAATTCAAAACGAAGAAATGAATCTTTATCTCTTTGTCTCCCTTTAAAGTCCAACTAATCGTCAAAAATATTTGTACTGCCAAAATGCTTTTTAGCTCGACTATTCGATAAGAATAAGTAGAGCTATTGCAGTCACCCGAGCGTCGGCGTCGGCGTAACCACTTATGTTAAAGTTTTTGTAATAGTTCAAATATTTTCAAAGTCCATAGACATATGGCTTTGAAACTTTGCACACTTGTTCACCATCATGACCCCAACCTGTAGACAGGAGGAGGTAACTCTATCAAGCATTTTGACAGAATTATGCCCCTTTTTCGACTTAGAATTTACGTTAAAGTTTTTGTAATAGTTCAAATATTTTCAAAGTCCATTGACATATGGCTTTGAAACTTTGCACACTTGTTCACCATCATGACCCCAACCTGTAGACAGGAGGAGGTAACTCTATCAAGCATTTTGACATAATTATGCCCCTTTTTCGACTTAGAATTTACGTTAAAGTTTTTGTAATAGTTCAAATATTTTCAAAGTCCATTGACATATGGCTTTGAAACTTTGCACACTTGTTCAACATTATGACCCCAACCTGTAAACAGGAGGAGGTAACTCTATCAAGCATTTTGACAGAATTATGCCCCTTTTTCGACTTAGAATTTACGTTAAAGTTTTTGTAATAGTTCAAATATTTTCAAAGTCCATTGACATATGGCTTTGAAACTTTGCACACTTGTTCACCATCATGACCCCAACCTGGAGACAGGTGGAGGTAACTGTATCAAGCATTTTGACAGAATTATGCCCCTTTTTCGACTTAGAATTTACGTTAAAGTTTTTGTAATAGTTCAAATATTTTCAAAGTCCATTGACATATGGCTTTGAAACTTTGCACACTTGTTCACCATCATGACCCCAACCTGTAAACAGGAGGAGGTAACTCTATCAAGCATTTTTTTTACTATCAAGCACTAAGAATAGTCGAGCGTTGCTGTCCTACCGACAGCTCTTGTTTTAAGTGATTTTGTCCTCTCCCTGTCAAGACCTACTATAATTTTGTGAATAAATGTTTAAGTGTATCTAGTAACAATAATACAGTTGAGCCGCGTCATGACAAAACCAACATAATGGATTTGCGACCAGCATGGATCCAGACCAGCCTGCGCATCCGCGCAGTCTGATCAGGATCCATGCTGTTCGCTTACAAACTCTATAACAAGTAGAGAAACTGATAGCGAACAGCATGGATCCTGATCAGACTGCGCGGATGCGCAGGCTGGTCTTGATTCATGCTGGTCGCAAACCCATTATGTTGGTTTTGTCATGACGCGGCTCAGTTTATTTTTATATATTTTTTCATCTTTTAATTTCAGCTATTAGAACGGACATATAAAGCTGATTGTAGATCAGATATTTGGGGTGCTGGTTGCCTGTTCTATGAAATGTTATCTGGTACACCATTTCTATATGAGCATAGGCACGAGGAGAGGGACGTTATACACAGAAAAATATTTTCTGGTTTGTTGCCAAACACTGACACATGGAGTATAGAAATTAGAAAGATTTTGAATTCATGCTGGAAGGTATAATTTTTTTTAACTTCTCATAATTTAAAAAAAATTCATACAAATACTGTCAAATAACTCTGTAGGAGAGTGATTATGGTTGTTGACTTTGAACCATTTTCCCCTCACTGCTGTGGGTATGAATCCCACCAGGAACTTTGGATTGCTTCATGTAAGGAAGCTATCTAGCTAGTTTGCGGAATGTCAATGGTTCTACTCTTGTCTGAAATTATGCACAGAGGGGTATACCGCATATGAATTAAAGCTGGAAAGTTGCCAAGTGACTTTTATCCCAGCATACAAATTAGCTGAATGGCATAGAGACACTTCACATTTTTTTATTAGATCACTATGTTTATCTATCTGTCATGTCTTGAAAGGATATAAGGTATTAAATAAAAAAATAATATATATTTAGACCATTGCTGTTTTTTTGGATGAAATCTTTTCAAACTTAAACTTTAATTGAAACTTAATTTTTTGAAATATTAGACATGATGTTCCTATACATTGTATGTATCTTAAAGCATTTTGGAATGTTTTGGTTCTGCAAATGGTATAGTCCATGTAGTCAGGTCACTAGCATTTTATATTAGCCATTTCCTTTCTGGAACCAGAAGTGTTTAGCTTTTACACCAGTATAGAACCAGGCCAGCACTCACATCCATGCATTCTGACAAGGCTTTAATATCTTGCTAGCTCAGAGTTTGAATTTTCTATACTCACATTTCTTGAATTCAAATGGACTGTTCCAAAATTCAAAGCAAGGCAACTCACAAATCTCAAATTTAGCAGGTTAAAGGTTAGATGCTTTGATAAGATAACTATCATGTTCAACCATTTTCAAACATCTAGATATAGCCTTGGTATTATATGTTATTTTGGTTTTGGAGTGATATATGTGGATATATTACCTGTTAAGATTTTATATCACCCGAGCTGTTAGGCGAGGGTGATATTTTATCTTGGCAGGTAATATATCCACATATATCACTCCAAAACCAAAATAATAATTTTATTACCCTTCCCCTGCCGACTTTAGACAATTTTTTTAAAAATCATTGCTGTTTCAAATGAAACGTCGAAATAAGATTCCCTTTAGGATACCTCTTTGTCACAACATGACGTCACATAAATACATGACGTATTTTTCCCGTACCTAACAAATGTAAACAAGAGAAAGGGAGTAGTCTATTGAACGCACTTTTTTGTAATTAATATCAAGCTTTCACAAGGTCATATTTGTTTTCGATACTGATGGTAATATGTATCATTACTCTACTTTGGTAAATATTTATCATTTGACAGTTAAAAAGTGCTTTTAAATCGAAATTTACACCGCGTAAAATCGAACCGTACGCGCATCACCTCAGCGCATGTTGTTTACAACGTTGGGTACCCAACGGGGAAATTAAGTGTGTATATTACCCGTCTGGCTCGGTTATATCAATTTCTTTCGGGTGATCAATATCCAATCAAAAAGGCGGAAAAAATCTGGAAGGGTAATAAACCTCTATATCTTAGGTATAGTTTTAATACTTAAGATATAGCTTTATACCCTTTCATAGGTTAAGACATTGATAGAATTTGTATATTTTTGTTTTCAGGCAAAGATGGAAGATAGAAAAAATTTGGACATTGTTCTCAGATACATTAAGTCATTGAAAGTCAAATGAAGGTGCACTTGATGTTATGTGAAGGGGATGCATCAACAGATTCCATTTCTTGTATATTTTTCTGAATTTTTAAAGACAATAAATGTTTCAGGTATTTTTAGTTTGGTGTGCAGGACCAATTAATATTGCTTTTGGTCTGTCTGTCACAAAACTTTGAATTTAACCATAATTCTTACAGCCTCTAAACTACACAGGTGCTTGATAATGAGTTCTACTAAACAAAGGTCCCAGAGGTCAAGGTTACTTGGGTCAAGGCCGCAATCAGAGTGCATGACATTCATTTGGACAGACATAGTGCTTGTCTGAATTAATTAGGAAAGATACATTGTAATTTTAAAAAACCACTGAGTTTGCATTGGGACAGAATGAATTTTTAGGCAATTTTTATTTAGTATTTATATAAAAGTCACATATTGGAATTATAAAGGGACATTTATGAAACAGGAATAATTTTATTCATCATGAAGCATAATCTGCAAGGAATCTGTATTAATCTTTAACAATATCCCCTAGAAATGCTGGCAATAATTAATTCATCATAAAGAACATATTGAAACCACTTGGTAGAATGTCCTGTCTGGTTGGATACTATGTTCCATGAACATCACTTTACTTTGTTGAATTTTCTTTTCATATTTTTGATGTGTGAAGTGCCATTATATTTGTTATTCTGTTTGCTCTTAGTTTGTTTTTGTTGTTGTTGTTATATGTGATATACTGTTCCATCATACAGATTCATAATCAAATGTAAATTTTTAATCACAATACTTTATCTAAATGAGAAATGTTGTTTTCAAAAGAGAAATTTTATTGAAAACAAATATGATAGTGGCCTGTTATTTATTGATGTTCTGTATATAAAATGTGGTCTTTATATCAAGTTTGTCTATATTACTAATGTGAAATTGTCACCTTGGTGCAGTAACAGGTTAACTCCTATAAAATTATTTTAGGTGTTTAGCCCGTTAATGCTCTTAGATGGCAAAATATTGTCCCATATTGTGGGCAAATTATTGTCATATATACATACATCCATCTTAAATGTCCTCACATATTATGCAATAATTATATATTCTGTAATGTTTTATTTTTATCATTTCATAAGCTGCTGGTTTCAGAACTTCCCCTCATTTGTTTGTATACAACATTTTGACATATATTGTACTTGTAGATTTAACATGTACGTTATTTGATCATGTACAATTAAATTAAATTCAAACATGTGTATAGCAGATCTACATGTATATACATATCATTAACTGGTGCAGTGGGATTTTTTTTATTATTCATTTTTGAAGTTCATGCATAGATTGTATATATTGTATGTATATATTGTTGACACCAAGTTGCTACATTTGTATATTTTTATGAAATATCTGTTATATAATATATATGATTATTCACGTTTTATGCATTCTTTCCATTTTTGTATTTGAACAATTTTTTTTCTAACCAATTATACTATATGGTCCCATCCATTTTTATACACATGCATAATCTAAGCACAGCATGCATATTTTGAACATGCCCATAACGTAAAGTTTAGTAATGTTCCATATCTTAACACACCCATAATGTAAATACAAACCCACCAATCTGAACACAACCATGATTTCATCTCAACCGTATTCTGAACACAACCATAATGTAAAAACAAACCCATAATCTGAACACAACCATGATTTCATCTCAACCATAATCTGAACACAACCATAATGTAAAAACAAACCCATAATCTGAACACAACCATGATTTCATCTCAACCGTATTCTGAACACAACCATAATGTAAAAACAAACCCATAATCTGAACACAACCATGATTTCATCTCAACCATAATCTGAACACAACCATAATGTAAAAACAAACCCATAATGTGAGCACACCCATAATCTGAACTCGACTATGTTCTTAACACAACCATAATATGAACACAACCATATTCTGAACACTACTATTATGTGAACAGAACCATAATGTGAATGCACTGTTAATTTAAAACCACATCCATATTCTGAACACATCATTAATTTGAACACACCCATATTCAAAATACCCCTTTTACATTATCATGCATATTTATTATCATTATTATTCAAACACATGTTTTCTCATTTTATGAATAATAATGAATTAATTTTGTATACATTTCTTATACAACTATTGTTTTTGTACTGGATACTTACTTTAGTTACAGTGTTTTACTAATTTTATTGTTACATTATTGCTGGTTTCTGTTTGTCAGTAAATAATATACATTTTTGTAAATATAAATTAATTTTATAAATTTATGAAATAGAAAGAGGCAGTACAATGAAATATGCCTCTCAAGTTGAATTATTTAGAAGGTTTCCATTGGTGCCATTTCATGTAAGCGTTGTAAAATTCAAAAGTTAAAACATTTTCAAATCAGACTAAAATAGGGCAAATGACATTACTATATCATATTATACAACAAAATGGTAATATATATTAGCAGTACTTTGTAGTAGAATATATATAGTTGCGCACGGATGATAGATAGATTTATTTCGGCATAAAGGTAAACATGTTACATGATAAACAAACACAATATAATATGGTCTGGATCCATGCTGGTCGCAAACCCATTATGTTGGTTTTGTCATGACGCGGCTCAATTGACTAGCAGAAGGAAGACTGATGCCTGTATATGCCTGAACAAATAGATCGGATTGAATAAAAAACCATTTTTCAGTTCTATATATTGTATGTTTAAACTATTGAAAGGAGTTTTAAAAGTTGCTTTGTGTTTTCCATCAGGTGTTTCTTGGTAAAAAAAAACATGTTCTGTTGCATCTTGAAGTCTTCTTTCACCACTATCTTTATATCATTGTGTTGCCCTTAATTCGACCCTACCCTTGAGTTTACACCATTATTTTCTGTTCATGTCACAAAATCTTGTCAGATGTTAGTTATGAAAGAAAACATTTGGATAATTTTTAAACATTGAAGTTTATGTTTCTGCCAAATTTCTTCAACATAAAAACTTTCAGATTATTTGAAAATACAGTGCATCAAACTAGCAAAGTGAAAATGCTTAGGGTAATGAAGCATGGCCACCAATGAATACTTTTATAAAAAGTGTATACATGTATATACAGTTATGTTATATTTGTGTGTGAATGCAACAATCATTTATTTTTAGAAGAAATAATATATCAGATGATTATTTTTTAATTTCTCTGAATAAAATAGTACAAGAGATGGGATAAAATACTATACAAATATGGACTTTGCAGCTGATGAATTGATATATGTATTGAAAAAATTGCGGAGGTCAATATTAATATTTTTTAATGTACAAGTCATATCATATTTACCAGCTAAAATATCCATGTTTGATAACGTTTTTAGCTTGACTATTAGAAGAATATGAGAGCTATTGTAGTTGCCCCGGCGTCGGCGTTGGTTAAAATTTTGTAAAGTCAAATATCTCAATTATTGCTTGAGATATTCAATTGAAACTTACAATACTTATTTATAGTAACAAGGTACATCAGATTGACAAGTTGGATAACTCTACCTACAATATTGACAGAATTATGCCCCTTTTTAACTTAGAAATTTTGGTTAAAGTTTTTTGTAAAGACAAATATCTCAATTATTGTTTGAGATATTCAATTGAAACTTACAATACTTTTTAGCTCACCTGTCACAAAGTGACAGGGTGAGCTTTTGTGATCGCTTTTCGTCCCGCGTGCGTCCGTCCGTCCTTCGTCCGTCCGTCCGTAAACTTTTACTTTAAATGACATCTCCTCATAAACCACTAAGCCAATTTCATCCAAACTTCACAGGAATGTTCCTTTGGTGGTCACCTTTAAAAATTGTTCAAAGAATTTAATTCCATGCAGAACTCTGGTTGCCATGGCAACCGAAAGAAAAAACTTTAAATATCTTCTTTTAAAAAATCATAAAAGCTAGAGCTTAGATATTTGGCATGAAACATCTTCTAGTGAGTGTCTACCAAGTTTGTTCAAATAAAAGCCCTGGGGTCAAAATTGGCCCCGCCCCGGGGGGTCATTGATTTTCCCTATATGCATATAGTAAAAACTTAAAAAATCTTCTTTTACAGAACCCAAAGAGCTAGAGCTAAGATATTTAGCATGAAACATGTTCTAATGGGTGTCTACCAAGTTTGTTCAAATAAACGCCCTGGGGGGTCAAAATTGGCCACGCCCCGGGGGGTCATTGATTTTCCCTATATGCATATAGTAAAAACTTTAAAAATCTTCTTTTAAAGAACTCAAAGAGCTATGGCTAAGATATTGAGCATCAAACATGTTCTAATAGGTGTCTACCAAGTTTGTTCAAATAAAAGCCCTGGGGTCAAAATTGGCCCCGCCCCAGGGGGTCATTGATTTTCCCTATATGCATATAGTAAAAACTTAAAAAATCTTCTTTTAAAGAACCATAAGAGTTAGAGCTAAGATATTTATCATGAAACATGTTCTAATAAGTGTCTACCAAGTTTGTACAAATAAAAGCCCTGGGGTCAAAATTGGCCCCGCCCCGGGGGGTCATTGATTTTCCCTATATGCATATAGTAAAAACTTAAAAAATCTACTTTTAAAGAACTCAAAGAGCTATGGCTAAGATATTTAGCATCAAACATGTTCCAATAGGTGTCTACCAAGTTTGTTCAAATAAAAGCCCTGGGGTCAAAATTGGCACCGCCCCGGGGGTCATTGATTTTCCTTATATGTGTATAGCAAAAACTTAAAAAATCTTCTTTGAAAAAACCCAAATAGCTAGAGTTAAGATATTAAGCATGAAACATCTTTTAGTGAGTGTCTACAAAGTTTGTTCAAATAAAAGACCGGGGGTCAAAATTGGCCCCGCCCCGGGGGTCATTGATTTTCTTTATATGTGTATAGCAAAAACTTAAAAATCTTCTTTGAAAAAACCCAAATAGCTAGAGTTTAGATATTAAGCATGAAACATCTTCTAGAAAGTGTCTACAAAGTTTGTTCAAATAAAAGCCCTGGGGTCAAAACTGGCCCGGCCCAGGGGTGTCATTGTTTTTAACTATATGTGTATAGTAAAAAACTTAAAAAAAATCTTCTTTTAAAAAGCCCAATGAGCTAGAGCTTAGATGTTTAGCATGAAACATCTTCTTATGGGTGTCTACCAAGTTTGTGCAAATAAAAGCCCTTGGGTTAAATTGGCCCTGCAACGTTGGGGGTGGGGGTTGGGGGGGGGGCTATATACAGGTGAGCGACCTCAGGGCCATCATGGCCCTCTTGTTTATTTCTTGTTATAGTAATAAGGTACATCAGATTGACAAGTTGGATAACTCTGCCGACAATATTGACAGATTTATGCCCCTTTTTAACTTAAAAATTTTGGTTAATGTTTTTTGTAAAGTCAAATATCTCAATTATTTGCTTGAGATATTCAATTGAAACTTACAATACTTATTTATAGTAACAAGGTACATCAGATTGACAAGTTGGATAACTCTGCCTACAATATTGACAGAATTATGCCCCTTTGAAACTTTGTAAAGTCAAATATCTGAATTATTGCTTGAGATATTCAAATGAAATTTACAATACTTTTTAGCTCGACTATTCGATAAGAATAAGTAGAGCTATTGCAGTCACCCGAGCGACGGCGTCGGCGTAACCACTTATGTTAAAGTTTTTGTAATAGTTCAAATATTTTCAAAGTCCATTGACATATGGCTTTGAAACTTTGCACACTTGTTCACCATCATGACCCCAACCTGTAGACAGGAGGAGGTAACTCTATCAAGCATTTTGACAGAATTATGCCCCTTTTTCGACTTAGAATTTACGTTAAAGTTTTTGTAATAGTTCAAATATTTTCAAAGTCCATTGATATATGGCTTTGAAACTTTGCACACTTGTTCACCATCATGACCCCAACCTGTAGACAGGAGGAGGTAACTCTATCAAGCATTTTGACAGAATTATGCCCCTTTTTCGACTTCGAATTTACGTTAAAGTTTTTGTAATAGTTCAAATATTTTCAAAGTCCATTGACATATGGCTTTGAAACTTTGCACACTTGTTCACCATCATGACCCCAACCTGTAGACAGGAGGAGGTAACTTTATCAAGCATTTTGACAGAATTATGCCCCTTTTTCGACTTAGAATTTACGTTAAAGTTTTTGTAATAGTTCAAATATTTTCAAAGTCCATTGACATATGGCTTTGAAACTTTGCACACTTGTTCACCATCATGACCATAACCTGTAGACAAGGGGAGGTAACTCTATCAAGCATTTTGACAGAATTATGCCCCTTTTTCGACTTAGAATTTACGTTAAAGTTTTTGTAATAGTTCAAATATTTTCAAAGTCCATTGACATATGGCTTTGAAACTTTGCACACTTGTTCAACATCATGACCCCAATCTGTAAACAGTAGGAGGTAACTCTATCAAGCATTTTGACAGAATTAAGCCCCTTTTTCGACTTAGAATTTACGTTAAAGTTTTTGTAATAGTTCAAATATTTTCAAAGTCCATTGACATATGGCTTTGAAACTTTGCACACTTGTTCACCATCATGACCCCAACCTGTAAACAGGAGGAGGTAACTGTATCAAGCATTTTTTTTACTATCAAGCACTAAGAATAGTCGAGCGTTGCTGTCCTACCGACAGCTCTTGTTTATAGTAACAATGTACATCATTTTACAAAATTGCATAACTCTGTCTGCAATATTTGCAGAATTTTTTGCCCCTTTGAAACTTAGAGATTTTGGTTAAAGGTCTTCAAAGATATTTACTTGAAACTTTACACATGTACTTAGGGTCATAATTTGAGGGTCATAATTGTATGTCACTGACCAAGTTCCATAACTCTATCTTGCATTAAGACTGATTGATATCCCCTTTTCTACTTAGTCTCTTGGTTAATGTTTACATGCAAGTTTAATGTATCTTAATAACTATTAAAGATATTTATTTAAAACTTCACATATGCATTTAGGGTTAGAAATGTAGGTCACTGACAAAGATCCATAATTCTATCTTGCATTTAGGCTGATTTTTGTTCTCTTTTTCAACTTAAAAAATTCATGGTAAAGTTTTGCTTGTAAGCTGTTATCTCCATAACTACTGAAGGGTTTGTGCCTTTTTTGGGACAATTTTATGCATTCATAATAATAAAGCAGTGATTTACTTGATAAACATCTTAATAACAAGCGGGTGCTAGGGGGCGTGAGGGGTGTTGCATTTTTTCATTATCCCTCATGTACAGACTCAATCAAACCGAGTCTGCAATTCTTATGTTATTTTGTTGTGATTGGTGCTAACTGAGGGATCACTTTGTTTCCAGAATTTTGTACCTTTTCTGTCAATTTTATGTATTCATAGGTAATAAGTATTATTATACTCAATAAAACACCCTTGTGACATTACCTTCCAAATAGTCAAGCCAATACTGTATAATTAGACTCTCTCTAAGGCCTATAACATGAATTTATAAAAAAAAATTAGCCCTTTTGTGAACTTGGAAGATTTAACAATTTATCAAGGCTCTTTTACTATCAAGCACTTAGAATAGTCGAGCGTGCTGTCCTGCTGACAGCTCTTGTTATTTGTCTGATCAATTCTGTCTTAGAAAATGCTGCAAATCAACTAAAATACTACCGGTACTTTTATAAGTATTTTGTCGATGTTTCTTCAAAACAATGACAACAAAACAGATGTGACATTTAGTGATATTATAGCATCTTTGACGGTTTTACAGAAAATCAGTTTTTAGGGGAAAAAATGGTTAATATATTCTGAAAATCATTTGAAATAAAATGAAATAAAAAAAATCTGATTCTGACCTGTTATTTTTTACAAAGATTAAGTCTTAACCAATCAGATAAAGACATTTCATAGCTTTTTAGCTCACCTGTCACAAAGTGACAGGGTGAGCTTTTGTGATCGCTTTTCGTCCGGCGTCCGTCCGTCGTCCGTCCGTAAACTTTTACTTTAAATGACATCTCCTCATAAACCACTAAGTCAATTTCATCCAAACTTCACAGGAATGTTCCTTTGGTGGTCACCTTTAAAAATTGTTCAAAGAATTTAATTCCATGCAAAACTCTGGTTGCCATGGCAACCGAAAGAAAAAACTTTAAATATCTTCTTTTAAAAAATCATAAGAGCTAGAGCTTAGATATTTGGCATGAAACATCTTCTAGTGAGTGTCTACCAAGTTTGTTCAAATAAAAGCCCTGGGGTCAAAATTGGCCCCGCCCCGGTGTCACAAAGTGAAAGTACGTTTGTAAATTATTGCATTATATTTTCACGCCGAACCTCATTTTTACTCTATATTCATTGATATGAGATTGCATCATCTTTTGTTCAATTTAGAGTTTTCGGGTGAAATTATTATTTAGAGTATTTTTATGGTTTGCATAAACTTCCATGTATCAATTTAAACATTTTGCCGTTTATTTCACAAAAATCCTTTCAGTAATAAGAAAGTTACATTTTTGTTTTATGAACCAGATATATGTATTATGTCTGTATTTGAAGGACGGGCCTTTATTTTACATAACTATTTTTCCCGCCGTCCCAGCTTTATTTCGTGCAAATCGATTTTTCATGTTTTGCACGATTTGTTTTCCCGCTCAGTACTCAGTAGTTTGCTATATATTGACTAAATTTTAAGTGACATATTGCAATGCACTGGACGTTATACAGGTCACTATGACGGGTGACAGACAAATTATATTTGTCATAAAATTACAGCTTGTACAAGGTAAATTTAATTTTCTAGTGATTTTGTTTCATAAATTTTTGCTATTTCGTAAAAATACTATTTTCTTTTAGAATTATAGTTTATTTGATTCAGGTTTAGTTATTTGGCAGTAATTTATTGTTTTCTAAATTTTCTAAATTTTTGCAGATTAAATTTTAAAAGCTCTTTTTATTCTAGTGTTTCGCTATTGCAAATTTATACCGAGACATGTTAATTGATGTATGTTAAATGAAGTTTTAATTATATTGTAATTGTATAGGAGCCATGAATATTTTATAGATCTATATATATCTATTCATTAATAATTTATTTTGGTTCTACCGTATTTGTGTAACTTTATGTAAAATACTGCAGTATCGTAATGATTTGTTTCAATCAATTTAATTTACGTTATCATCCTACTTCATTTCATTTATCATCTGTTTTTGTTATAAGTAAATACAACGTATCAAAACTAACGTATCTCTAGAGAAGGATCTTCAGTGGCATGATTTTGGAAGACGTTTATTTATTGGTGGTTATTATGTGGCGTATATTTGAATATATTTGCAACGCAGTATTATGCGGATGTGATTGAATTTTTGTTCCACGGAATGTATGGTGTACTATAGTGGACATTTTGTTTATTCAAAGAAGCACGTTATTTTATTGGAAACCGACAAAGGTCGAGTCTTTTCCAAGGGACTTTATTATACCCTTATGTTTGATTATCATGGAACTTATCATGTTTTATACTTTGTAGCTTCTTATTTGAGGACACACCCGAAGATGACATGGGCCCTCCACACGTATGTCCATGGCTAAAGGGTGACGCATGCCCTTGTTCAGGATCCTATCAACTGTGCCAACACTGTAGGAAGTACAGTTACGCTTGATAAGATTTTATACAAGACGCCCGCCATTGTGACGAATTTTGTTTAACAACGCCACCACTTTATTGAAGCATCATGACAGAAACTTTACGGGAGAAATAGACTGAGATACGTTGATAGTGTTTGTTTGTGCAGTGACTTATCATAGTAGTTTATCATATACAATCATTTTTCATTTATAAATAATCATTTCTGTAAATAAATTTGTATATATTTTTTCTGTTTTGAGTTGTTGGTTGTTTTAGATAGCAATTGTGGTCGGCCTGGTATCCCAGCGTAGTCCCTATTGTGACATTTGGTGACCTCGACGTGATTGGATACCGGTTGACTATAGTTGTTATTTGAAACAAACCACACTCATTTTACTGCAGCTAGGTTATATAGCTAACACTAGAAACTTTGGTTTTTATTTTAAGTAAAAATTTTATTTACAATTAAAAGTTAAACTTAGTTTACTTAAAGGTAGTTAAATTTTGTATCATTTTTAATTATTTATTCTTTTTATATTTAGTGTGATTATAATTTCTTAACATTTTCAGATTGATACCGTGACAAATGAAACGGACTTGTGTGTGTGACAGCTATCCAGCTGAGAGGTTATAACAGCCACACAGACCCGACAGTGGACGTTTGGACGTTTAGGGTGAGTTCGTTCCATTTTCCTCCTTTTAGGTGTCACTTAATGATGAGACCACCAGTTTTGTAATCTGAAAGTGACCTTTCGGTAAAACACCGGAAGTACATATATACACACATACACTCTGCAATGTAAGGTACTACCCGCCTTGTGTACTTTTTCTAGATAAAGAAACTGTGTCTGTTATCTAGGTGAACATTTAATTTATTGTGTCATTTACAATTTTACTTTGTTTTTACGTTGTGTCTGTAGTATATTGAAACTGGCCATATACCTTTTATATTTTTGCACTGTGGGGAAAGTGCTACGCGACATTGAGTTTTGGGTCGTAGTTTGGACTTTGAAGTTTAAAGTATTTTGAACAGTTTTAATTATTGCCTACTGTCTACTGTACACTTAAGATTATTATTATACAACCTTAGTGAGATACTTAGATGAGTTTGAAACTTAGTGTTTGTAGTGGTGAGGTATAGTGTTTAGAATATATGATACACTGTTTATTTTAGTACTGTGTACAGTGAAAGTACATTGTGATTATAGCGCTAGAGTGATAAATGCGTTTAATTATATGGTGTTACACTGAAGTGTAGTGTTATAGTGCACCGTGATTAGTGAATATAGTGTTTTGTGTTTAAGGGTTGTAGTGTTACCCTTTAATGATACTTTGATATCATTGTTCTACCTCACATTTAGATTTTACTTGTATCCTAAGTTGTTGTTGTTGTAGTGTTACAGTGTAGGAAATATACATAATAAGTTCAAGATGACTAGTGTAAATGAGTTGATGAAGGTAGGTCAAGAGTTAGGGTATACAGATGAAGCTTTGAGAAACTTTGTTAAAGAGGAGCAAGCAAGGGAGCGTGAAGAAAGACATAGTAGGTTAGAAGCTGAGAAGGAACGTTTTGAAGCTGAGAAGGAACGTTTTGAAGCTGAGAAGGAACGTTTAGAAGCTGAGAAGGATAGGTTAGAATTAGAAGCTAGGTTAGCAAAAGAGAAGTTAAGTAATGAGAAAGAGAAGTTAGATTATGAGTTTAAGATTTCTAGGGAGAAGTTAGATTATGCTCGTCAATTAGAAAGAGAGAAGGAGGAAGCAGAAGCTAGGAAGTTAGATACAGAATATAAGATGAAGATAGAGTTAGATATGTTAGGTAAGAAGAGTGTAGGTAAGGTAAAGGTTAAGATGACTCCATTTGACGAAAAGATTGATTCTATGGATGCGTATTTGAATGTTTATGAAACTTATGCGTCTGCTCAGAATTGGGAACATGAAATGTGGTCACTAAACTTACCGTTTCTGTTAAAAGGTACTGCTAGGGAGGTATTTGATAGGCTTCCATTAGAAGATAGGACGGATTATGATAAGCTGAAAGATGCTTTGTTAAGGCAGTTTGAGTTGACTGATGATGGGTATAAGAAGAAGTTTAGGACTGAAAGGCCCCGTGAAAATGAGACTTTTGTTATGTTCCTAGCTAGAATTTCTAGATACTTAGATGGGTGGCTAAGATTGAGTAAGGTGGAGAAGACTTATGAAAAGTTGTTAGACTTCATAGTAAGGGATCAATTTTTAGATTTCTGCAATAGAGAACTATATCAGAACCTTAGTAGTAAGAAGTTGTTTTCAGCCCGTGAAGTAGCGGAAGATGCAGATTTGTTTGCCAAGACTAGAGGAGGTCCGAAGTATGTAGTGAATCATGGAATTAAAGAAAGAGCTAAGCCTTATGTACTGCCGAGTAGACCTGTAGATAGAAATCAAGGTAGTAGTTATCGTATGCAAAGAGGTAACGATAGACTGGTAAATAGAGGTAGAGCATCTCAGCAGTATGAAGGTTATAAATGCACATATTGTGGTCGTTTAGGGCATACAGCATTTTTCTGTAGAAATAAGGCTACAAATAAAGCTAACGCAGCGGAAGACATAGAACCGAACTCAATGAATCCAAGTAAGAATGATAATAGTTATCAGGATAATAGAAGGCGAGGAGGTTATAGAGGTAGGAGTAGAGGTAGAGGAAGAAATAGAGATGCAGATTCGAAAATTTCGATGCCGAGATCAGATAGTGGTAGTAGTTTGATAGAACTTGGGGATTTTGAAGACGTGGGTACAGTTACTATAAATTCATGTCCGACAACTAGAGGTATATGTAATGGTAAATCTATAGTTGCAATGAGAGATACTGGGTGTACATGTGTCATAGTACGAAGGAATTTGGTAAATGCAAATCAATTGTTAGGGAAGTCCAGACGATGTAAGTACATTAATGGTAGTGAGCACAGATTAGACATGGCGTTAATTGATCTTGATTGTCCGTATTACAGGGGTACTGTAGAAGCATTATGTGTAGATAATCCTACAAATGATGTAATTATCGGTAACATAGAGGGTGCTGTAGAACCAAATTTTGGTAAGTTAGCTTCAGCAGTAGAAACAAGATCGCAGAGTAAAGTTAAAGCTCATAGAAGACTTAAAGTTCCTTCACAGATTTTAGACATCACTAATGTAGAGTTTGTAGAGAAGCAGCAGGCAGATAGTTCATTAGATGGATGTAGAAAGAAAGCAGAGGAAGGTACTGTTAGAAACTGTAGAGGTAAAGGGCAAGTGAAGTTTCAGATCAGGAATAAGATGTTGTTTAGAGAGTTTACGGCAGGAAATGGTGACGTAAGTAGGCAGTTAGTAGTTCCTAAGGATCTTAGGGAGACTGTGTTAAAAGTAGCGCATGACTCGCTTTTGGCAGGACATCTTGGTATTAGGAAGACAAGTGATAGAGTCTTAGGGGAGTTTTATTGGCCAGGTGTTCTTGTAGAGGTTAGACGATATTGTCAGTCTTGTGATATTTGTCAACGTACTATTTCTAAAGGTAGAATAAGTAAGGTAACTTTAGGTAAGATGCCTTTGATTGATACTCCTTTTAAGAGAGTTGCCGTTGATATTGTTGGTTCCGATCGAACCTATGACTGATAGGAAGAACCGATATATTTTGACCATGGTAGACTATGCTACCAGATATCCTGAAGCAATTGCATTGCCTAGTATAGAGACTGAAAGAGTAGCCGAAGCATTAGTTGACATGTATAGTAGATTAGGTGTTCCAGAGGAAATGCTTACAGATTGTGGATCACAATTTACTTCACAGATTATGAATGAGGTTAGTAGGTTGCTGTCTCTTAGACAGTTAACAACTACACCGTATCATCCGATGTGTAATGGTTTAGTGGAGAAATTTAATGGTAGTTTAAAGCAGATGTTGAAACGGATGTGTAGTGAAAGACCTACAGATTGGGATAAGTATTTGAATGCTATGTTGTTTGCGTATCGGGAAGTTCCACAAGAGAGTTTAGGATTCTCGCCATTTGAATTGTTATATGGACGTAGTATAAGAGGTCAATTACCATTTTGAGAGAGTTATGGTCAGGAAAAAACAGAGAATGACGAAGTTAAGACAACTTATCAGTATGTAGTTGATTTGCAAGAAAGACTAGAAAGTACATGTAAGATAGCACAGCAGGAGTTAGAGAAGAGCAGTATTAGGTATAGAAAGTATTACAACAGGAAAGCTAGAGACAGAACTTTTAAGAAGGGAAGTAAAGTACTGGTTCTTATACCTACAAAACGCAATAAGTTGTTATTACAATGGAAAGGTCCATTTGTAGTTTCCGAGGTCGTGAACAAATTAGATTATCGGATAGACATAGGTAACAATAAAGATTAAAACTTTCCATGCCAATATGCTGAAGGAGTATGTTGAAAGAAAATTTCGAACCAGAACGAGGTGCATTGGCAAAGGTAAGTGCAGCTGTTGTAGAAGCGGAAAATGGGTATGATAGATTAGATGAAGATGATAGTTTAGAAAACAAGTGACCAAGATGATAGTGACATATTGTTATGTCCATTGAAGAAAGGTTCAGAGACATATAAAGATGTTCAGGTCAATCCTGACTTACAAACAGATTGTAAGACGCAGATTGCAACCTTGTTAAAGAAATTTTCAGATGTTTTAACAGATATACCCGGAAATACGTCATTAGTTCAGCATGACATTAAGTTGACTACGTCAGAACCGGTAAGGACTAAGGGTATCCTATTCCTTTTCACTCACAGCAGATAGTAAAGGAAGAAGTTGATAAAATGCTAGAGTTGGGAGTTATCGAACCTTCTAATGCTCCGTTTTCTAGTCCAATTGTCCTTATCAGGAAAAAGGATAAACACGATTAGGTTCTGTATTGATTTTAGACAGATTCAATAAATGCACTGTATTTGATGCGGAACCGATGCCCAATATGGAACAGATATTTTCGAAATTATCAAAAATACAGGTATTTTTCGAAAAATTGACCTTAGTAAAGGATACTGGCAAGTTCCTTTGTCTGACAATGCAAAACCTTTGACCGCATTTGAAACCCCGTTGGGACTTTTTCAATTCCGGAAAATGCCCTTTGGTTTAGTCAATGCCCCTGCAACATTCTGTAGACTGATGAGAAAGGTTTTGAAAGATTTAGATCACTCAGATAGTTTTATAGATGATATTTTGGTCTATACAGTCACATTGCCAGAGCATATCAATGCATTGTATGAGTTATTTACCCAATTAAGAGAGTCTAGGCTTACTGCTAGACCGTCCAAGTGTTTCATATGTTTTGAAAAATTGGAATGTTTAGGTCATATGATAGGAGGTAGTAAGTCCATTGAGCCTGTTCTCAGTAAGGTCAAGGCAATTCAGGAGACCGAGAGACCCACGACTAAGCGAGGAGTCCGGCAATTTTTAGGGGTTGTGTCTTTGGTACCGGAAGTTCATCCCTAACTTTGCCGCCATTGCTGTTCCGTTGACCGATTTGACAAAAAAAGTTTCAAACCAAATCGTATTGAATGGGGTGAAAGTCAGGAAAAGGCTTTTCAGACTCTTAAGGCTAGTTTGACCGGTCCGCCCATTTTGAAATTACCAGATTTAGACAAGATATTTATTCTCAGAGTTGATGCTTCTGATTGTGGATTGGGATCTGTATTACTTCAGAACAAGGTGAGGAGAAATTTCCAGTAGCTTATGCCAGTAGAAAGTTGTTACAAGAGAACAGAAGTATTCTGTAATAGAGAAGGAGTGCCTTGGTATTGTTTGGGCAATTTCTAAATTTCACAGATACTTGTTTGGTAAGGAATTTATTCTAGAGACAGATCACCAGCCGCTTTTGTATCTTAACAAGGCAAAGTTAAGTAACTCTAGAATAATGAGATGGTCTTTGCTTTTGCAGCCATACAGGATGAGGATTAGAGCAATCCCAGGTAGAGAGAACATAGGTGCAGATTATTTAAGCAGGGTATAATGTAGAGTGTAGTGTAGTATTTATGGTGGTTATAAATATGGTGTACAGTATTTCTACTTACATTTTTGCAATTTGTCGTTTTCACTTTGTTGTATTTAAAGAAAATTTATCAATTTTCTTATTTAAAGGGGGGCGTAAATGTCACAAAGTGAAAGTACGTTTGTAAATTATTGCATTATATTTTCACGCCGAACCTCATTTTTACTCTATATTCATTGATATGAGATTGCATCATCTTTTGTTCAATTTAGAGTTTTCGGGTGAAATTATTATTTAGAGTATTTTTATGGTTTGCATAAACTTCCATGTATCAATTTAAACATTTTGCCGTTTATTTCACAAAAATCCTTTCAGTAATAAGAAAGTTACATTTTTGTTTTATGAACCAGATATATGTATTATGTCTGTATTTGAAGGACGGGCCTTTATTTTACATAACTATTTTTCCCGCCGTCCCAGCTTTATTTCGTGCAAATCGATTTTTCATGTTTTGCACGATTTGTTTTCCCGCTCAGTACTCAGTAGTTTGCTATATATTGACTAAATTTTAAGTGACATATTGCAATGCACTGGACGTTATACAGGTCACTATGACGGTGACAGACAAATTATATTTGTCATAAAATTACAGCTTGTACAAGGTAAATTTAATTTTCTAGTGATTTTGTTTCATAAATTTTTGCTATTTCGTAAAATACTATTTTCTTTTAGAATTATAGTTTATTTGATTCAGGTTTAGTTATTTGGCAGTAATTTATTGTTTTCTAAATTTTCTAAATTTTTGCAGATTAAATTTTAAAAGCTCTTTTTATTCTAGTGTTTCGCTATTGCAAATTTATACCGAGACATGTTAATTGATGTATGTTAAATGAAGTTTTAATTATATTGTAATTGTATAGGAGCCATGAATATTTTATTAGATCTATATATATCTATTCATTCATTAATAATTTATTTTGGTTCTACCGTATTTGTGTAACTTTATGTAAAATACTGCAGTATCGTAATGATTTGTTTTTCAATCAATTTAATTTACGTTATCATCCTACTTCATTTCATTTATCATCTGTTTTTTTTATAAGTAAATACAACGTATCAAAACTAACGTATCTCTAGAGAAGGATCTTCAGTGGGCATGATTTTGGAAGACGTTTATTTATTTGGTGGTTATTATGTGGCGTATATTTGAATATATTTGCAACGCAGTATTATGCGGATGTGATTGAATTTTTGTTCCAGCGGAATGTATGGTGTACTATAGTGGACATTTTGTTTATTCAAAGAAGCACGTTATTTTATTGGAAACCGACAAAGGTCGAGGTCTTTTCCAAGGGACTTTATTATACCCTTATGTTTGATTATCATGGAACTTATCATGTTTTATACTTTGTAGCTCTTCTTATTTGAGGACACACCCGAAGATGACACGGGCCCTCCACACGTATGTCCATGGCTAAAGGGTGACGCATGCCCTTGTTCAGGATCCTATCAACTGTGCCAACACTGTAGGAAGTACAGTTACGCTTGATAAGATTTTATACAAGACGCCCGCCATTGTGACGAATTTTGTTTAACAACGCCACCACCCTTTATTGAAGCATCATGACAGAAACTTTACGGGAGAAATAGACTGAGATACGTTGATAGTGTTTGTTTGTGCAGTGACTTATCATAGTAGTTTATCATATACAATCATTTTTCATTTATAAATATTCATTTCTGTAAATAAATTTGTATATATTTTTTCTGTTCTGAGTTGTTGGTTGTTTTAGATAGCAATTGTGGTCGGCCTGGTATCCCATCGTAGTCCCTATTGTGACACCCGGGGGGTCATTGATTTTCCCAATATGCATATAGTAAAAACTTAAAAAATCTTCTTTTAAAGAACCCAAAGAGCTAGAGCTAAGATATTTAGCATGAAACATGTTCTAATGGGTGTCTTTACCAAGTTTGTTTCAAATAAAAGCCCTGGGTGTGAAAATTGGCCCCGCCCCCAGGGGTCATTGATTTTCCCAATATGCATATAGTAAAAACTTAAAAATCTTCTTTTAAAGAACTCAAAGAGCTAGAGCTTAGATATTTGGCATGAAACATCTTCTAGTGTGTGTCTACCAAGTTTGTTCAAATAAAAGCCCTGGGGTCAAAATTGGCCCTGCCCCGGGGGGGTCATTGATTTTCCCTATATGCATATAGTAAAAAACTTAAAAAAAATCTTCTTTTTAAAGAACCCAAAGAGCTAGAGCTAAGATATTTAGCATGAAACATGTTCTAATGGGTGTCTACCAAGTTTGTTCAAATAAAAGCCCTGGGGTGAAAATTGGCCCCGCCCCGGGGGTCATTGATTTTCCCTATATGCATATAGTAAAAACTTAAAAATCTTCTTTTAAAGAACTCAAAGAGCTATGGCTAAGATATTGAGCATCAAACATGTTCTAATAGGTGTCTACCAAGTTTGTTCAAATAAAAGCCCTGGGGTCAAAATTGGCACCGTCCCGGGGGTCATTGATTTTCCTTATATGTGTATAGCAAAAACTTAAAAAATCTTCTTTGAAAAAACCCAAATAGCTAGAGTTAAGATATTAAGCATGAAACATCTTTTAGTGAGTGTCTACAAAGTTTGTTCAAATAAAAAGACCTGGGGTC